AGAAAAAAAGAACACAGAAATTACAAATAACTGGAAAGAGAGAAGGCATCCTTCAGGCAATAAAAGGACAATGAAGGAATATTACGAGAAATTTCATGTGGAATTGCCTCTAAATGGACTGAATTTTTAATCCTACTAAGTTTTTAAGGAAGTTACATTGCAAAAGAAATCACAGTCCCTTTTAGTATATGGCTTTTTGCCCAATTGGAGATTGCAATCTCCAATCTCTCAAGTCTACATCAATAGGAAATAAGCTGCACAAGTGGTGAAACCCCAAGAAAGGCACTTTATCCCACATCTACTTTAGATGGACATGCAAAGGATAATAGCAGCAACAACCCAGATGACAGTGGACGTAGAGATTCTTTCTATAATGCTGAACCAGTCCAAGCAAATCTACTTCTCCACTTCTAGCTCAGGGAGTCTTCACAATTACTCCCTGGCAGGATTTGGTAATCACTATGGACCAGTGATTTACTGTCTGAGCTACCAGGACTCTGTCTGCAATGTAGGAGACCAGGGTTTGATCCCTGGGTTGGGAAGATCCCCTGGAGAAGGGCTTGGCAACCCACTCCAGTATTCTTGCCTGGAGAATCCCATGGACAGAGGAATCTGGTGGGCTCAAGTCCAGAGGGTCACAAAGAGCTGGACATGACTGAAGCAACCTTCTTTTTTTTAATGGACCAGTGACTGCTGTGTGTTTTATTTGCTTCCCTTCTGTGAATGTGGATTTTTACTGCAGCTATTCTTATTCCTCTTATTCCTTGATTTTGGATGTGGAAGGGGGCAGACAACTTGGCAAATAGGATCCCCATCCAGTCTTGACTGAGAGGACTTCACCATCACCCACGTGTCACAGACTTTAGGCAGGATACTGTAATTATTTGCTGTATTTGCAAGGTCAAACATTCTATGTGAAAATAAGAGCTCATGGATATTTGAGTGGCAGAAACGTATGCTGTGGCAGGGACAGTTAATTGTGTATCAATATCTATTCTCCCTTCATTACATTATGGAATTCCTTATTTTTAGCTGAGCACATGGCCACCCAGCTAGAGTAACATGAAGCTAGGTATGGCCCCATGTCTAAGTTCTGCCAATGGCAGGTTAAGAACAAATGATGTCTGCCACTTCTGGGTCATGTCCTTTCTTTACTTCCCACTCTTTGAATATAGATGTGATGGCGAGAGTCTGAGCTCTTAGACTAAAGATAGAGGAACTTAGACCAAAGTGAAGTTCTTAGACAAGAGATGGAAGCCAGTGTCGAGACTGGCAAAGCTGTTCTACCAGTCCTCTACCATTTACCTTTGGGGCTATTGGGTAAAATAAATAAACTTCAGTCCTTTTTACACTATAGGATTTAAGGGTGATTTTTTCTTATGGCAGCCAAGACTGAAAACAATAAAAAATAAACAGTTTCAGTACAAATGATTCCCTTCTGCCCTATTTGATCAGAATAAAGATTATGTCAGAGCTTTTCCAATAGCAGTATGACAGGATGAATTGAGGAGCCCTGAGGCATTTTTAAGATATAATAGTTTCTTGTCTCTGGATTTGTTTTTGTTTTGTTTTAGTGAACCAGTCTGGGCAAGGAAGGCTAAGTATGCCTAAAGAAGCTAAAGAGAATTTTTGAGGAAGGAAGGAAAGAAACAGGAGGAAACATTATAGAGAAAATGTTAAAAGGTGTATTTCAGACATTCTGCACAAAATTATGTATAAAGTTATCCTTACTCCATCTTACTGTGGTGGTGGTTTATTCGCTAATTCATGTCCAACTCTTGCGACGCCACGGACTGTAGCCCGCCAGGCTCCTCTGTCCATGGGATTTTCCAGGCAATAATACTGGAGTGTATTGCCATTTACTTCTCCAGGAGCTCTTCCCAATCCAGGGATTGAACTCAGGTCTCCTGCACTGTAGGCAGATTCTTCATCAACTGAGCTACCAAGGAAGGCCCACTCCGCCTTACTAGATTTTCTTAAATCAACATTATTTATACTTTTGGAGTTAAATTTTTTTTTTTGGAGGGAGTGATGGTACACTGAAATTAACCTCAAGAAATTAACCTCAAGAAGGTAGCAAGAAGTCCAGGAGGACTTCAAATTATTGAACTGCCTATGAAAAAGGCCAAGTTTCTTTGCTTGAGTTGTAAATTATGGAATATCCTAGATCACCTAATTTGGACCACTCACTAAATGTATTTTCTAATAAAACACTGTTGCTTTGATAAATCCATGAAATGGAAGCTACTGAGTGCATGCTCTTATAAAGTTACTTTTAAAACCTTAGGTACAGAAACTTTTTTCAAACACAGTCACTCTCACAGGACTTCCCTGGGGGTGCAGTGGGTTAAACCTCTACCCTTCCAATGCAGGGGGCACGGGTTTGATACCTGGTCGGGGAAGTTCCACAAGCCATGGGGTGTGGACAAAAATAAAAACACTGTCCCTCTAATATGTGTCACGTTATCCACACAGGCTACTCAACATTAAACAGTTAAATTTACTGCAGAAAGCTGAATTCATCGCATATCCCATCATCCATGGCACAAGATGCCCTCTGTGGTGGACATGGAGATACACTACCCAGATCCCCCTTCAAGGAAGGACCAAGTACCCCAAGTACCCCAGACCCCTTCAGGGTCTCCCTCAGCTGCAGAGAGCTGTTTGCCCAATGGCCTGCCCTCCCTCATGGGCCCACAGCCAAAGACTGAGATAAGTGAGGCTAAAGGCCCTGCCCTTGGGCCCAACATGGAACAGCACTGATGGGCCCCCATCCTCTCTGTGCGGTTGGCTGGGGTTTTGTCAGGCCTGCCTCATTGCTGCATGTCTCCCTCTGCCCAAGCCTGCTTTCTTCCCCTCCGTTCCTGTACTGATTCCAAGATGCTGCATGTCCACCTCCATCTCAGAGTCTGCTTCCAGAGAACCCAAATGGGTTCTTTCACTGCCAAGAGTGATCTTGGAAAATTTGCAAAAAGATAGCTCACTTGCCACCTGGATGGTAATGAAAACCTTTGTCTCATTCTAAAGAGTTAAGGTGGTCTTGTGGAAGTCCAGACTCAGCAAAATTTCCTTTCAAATTCCATTCTGTTATTGCAGCCACATTAGCTGAAAAGTTATCCTTGGCAGACTAGAGCTACTTCCTGGGCTAGTGAAAGAACTGTGTCAGTGACTGGTTCGCCATCTTTGGAGTGAGCCAAATTTGACACCAAGTTAATCTCTGAGTCCAATAAGCTTCAGTTTTATGAAAAGCACTTTTTTTTGTTAATTTTCAGCTGATTATAGGCTTTTGACTTGTTTTGCTTTTATTTATTTATGCTCCTCTTTATAGACTTATCGCTGGAAGCAATCTGGCAAGAAAATGATGTTTGTCTTACTGTATTTAACTTGTAGTATACAGTTGAAGAAAGACATCATCTTATTTTAGCGCTATCAGTTCAGTTCAGCTCAGCCAACGTTTTCCGACCCCACGAATCGCAGTACATCAGGCCTCTCTGTCCATCACCAACTCCCAGAGTTTACTCAAACTCACGTCCATCGAGCCAGTGATGCCATCCAGCCATCTCATCACTGTCGTCCCCTTCTCCTCCTGCCCCCAATCCCTCGCAGCATCAGGGTCTTTTCCAATGAGTCAACTCTTCGCATGAGGTGGCCAAAGTATTGGAGTTTCAACTTCAGCATCAGTCCTTCCAATGAACACCCAAGATAGATCTCCTCTAGGATGGACTGGTTGGATCTTCTTGCAGTCCAAGGGACTCTCAAGAATTTTCTCCAACACCACAGTTCAAAAGCATCAATTCTTCGGCACTCAGCTTTCTTCACAGTCCAACTCTCACATCCATACATGACCACTGGAAAAACCATAGCCTTGACTAGACGGACCTTTGTTGGCAAAGTAATGTCTCAGCTTTTAAATATGCTGTCTAGGTTGGCTATAGCTTTCCTTCCAAGGAGTAAGCGTCTTTCAATTTCATGGCTGCAATCACCATCTGCAGTGATTTTGGAACCCCAAAAAATAAAGTCTGACACTGTTTCCATTGTTTCCCCATCTATTTGCCATGAAGTGATGGGACCAGATGCCATGATCTTACTTTTCTGAATGTTGAGTTTTAAGCCAAATTTTTAGTGCTTTACGCCAACTTTTTAGTGCTTTTTAGCGCTATACAGATGACTTACTAAAGGTTTTTGCAATGAATAAAATTAACATCATCACTAAACAGAACTGAAATAGAGGCCACTGTTCCTCATGCAAACAAACATGATCTCTTGGCTTTGACAATCCTTCCCTCAGGAAAAGCACACAGCAGAAAGCAAAAACTGGGAGTCGATTCAAAGTGTTTGAAAAGATGATTCAAAATCAAAGTTCTCAAACAGTGAAATCCATAACATCTTTACAAAGTTCTAACCTATATTAACTGTGATGAGGGAGGGATTGAGATAAGAAAGAATTCTTTTAACTCCCTGAAAAATGAGGCTAAGGAAATAGCATTTTTAAAATGAGAAAAAAAAATAATAAAAAATAAAAATGAGAGTCAGTGAACTAAATAGCGGCACCCAAAAGATATGCTCAAGTCCTGACTCCTGGTACCTGCAAATATGACCTAATTTTCAAAAGGGGTCCTTGCAGATGTAATTAATTTAAGGATCACCAGATGAGATCTTCCTGGATTTCTGGCCCACCTATAAGGGAAAGGCGCTGTCCTGTAAGAGAAAGGACAGGGAGCCTTGAGACATGGGGGTAAGGCCAATGAAAACTGAAGCAGAGACTGGAGTGGCACATCTCAAGACAAGGAACACCACCAGAAGCTAGGAGACGGGCATCAGACCAATTCTCCTCCAGAGCCACAGGATGAGCCGAGCCAACCCAGCCGCCATCTTGATTTAGGACTTCTGGCCTCCATCACCGTGACAGAACACACCTCTCCGATTCTAAGACACCCAGTTTAATGGCAATTTGTTACAGCAGCACAGGAAACTAATATAGGCAAAGAGCAGCCACTTACTCTCCTGGTGCCATGGGCTTCCCAGTGGGTGAGGTGAGCTTTGATTTCCAGCAGAGCCAAGCGTGCTTCGAAGAACCTGTGTATTGATGTAGCCGGGGTCATCGAAAAGATCCACCCGACACGAGTGCTTCATCAGTGACACCTCTCGCTGGGACTGCACCCCTCTCTCGTGTGCACTACCTGTAGTGAGTAAAGATCACTGTATGGTGTTTTTGCTTTGTAAACAATAAATAAAATCATGGCTGAGTCCAACACTGACAGGAAGGGAAAAGCCACACCCATGTCATGCAAGGAATGAATATTAACCTGGAGATTTGACCTGTAAAAATAAAATAACAACCAGTCTTTGAGGGAAAACATCCCTTCTTGCCCTCCTTGCCCCTCCCCGCTTGTCCCTCAGCTGACCCTTTGCTTCAACAGCAGACAGCAGACAAACCAGGAAAATGTGAAGGAGAAATAGCCCGGGGGAGAGGCATGGGGGGTGGGATGGGAAGGGAGCTGTCTTTTCAGCTAACAGCACAAACCCACAAATGACACTGCTCAGAGTTGTAGACCTGGAACCAAGAAAACTGCACATACCATATGGAACTTGAATATTTACTATTTATTTAAACAGCTCTTCAAAAGACTCATTACTTAATTTTAAATTATTAACCGTGAGAAGTCTTTCTTCCCTCTTTGCCAAAGTTTTGTTTCACCAAGCTCAGCCCTGCACCAGCTGCTGATGTTCATCCTGTCATCTAATGGAAAGAACTCACCCGCCCCTCAGGTTACATCCTCCTTTCCCTTACTCCGCTTTCTCCCCTCCATCCTATTTAATACTTGTGGCCAAAATGATCTTTTTACAACTGAAAATCTGATCCTATTTCTCAGAAGTTTAAAAACACATTCATTGCTTCCCACTGCTCTTGAGATACAACTCAGACTCTTCAACAAGCCAGACCCTGCTCCAGGGTGCCCAACTTCCCTAGCACTGTAGTCCTCCTATTTCTGCCCCTGCTCACACTGGCCTTCCTGAAAATAATCCCCACCATAAGGCCATCTTCTCTGACATGCCCTTCCCTCTCCTTCTCCATCACCCTCATCCTTAGGTGAGGTCAGTTTAAATATGTCTTTATCAAGAGAGCATTCCCTGACCTTCTCAGACTAGACTATGTCTCTCTGCTATCCTCTGAAGCCCGTATCACAAGAGTAATTAACTCTATTCTGTTATTATATTTCTTAAAATCTGTACTGCCTCTAGACTGCATGTTCCATGAAGACAGAGATCCTGTCTGTCCGCTTCACAGCTGCAGCCCTTGTCTCTAGCACATGCCTGGCACACACTATGATATCAACAAATAGTTATTGAATGAATGGATAATTGAACCATATTTCACTACCTGATAGCATGAAGTAATTTGTACCACTCTACTGGTCCTGTCCTGAGAATGCCAGGATAGAATGTTCTTGCTTTTCTGTTCAAACAAGTACATTTACAGCTCTGGTCATATGTATACAACATTCCCGTGAGGCTGCACCTAGAGTAGCAACATTAAGACTCCACTGTCTCACTTAAACAACATCAGTCCTTTCAGCCAATTAGATCCCTTCAGGGGACCAACTTCACACTGGATTTCGCATCTTAGTGAATAGTGCTATGATTCTTATACACAAGTATGGAAGCCTAAGAACACAACAAATAGGGGAAGTCCAGTCAAGACTAAAGCCCTAGTACCTGATCCTCCTTTGTTCCTGTCTGTCCAGTCCTTACCCATCACCCTGTCCCATGTCTTATCCATACTTGGGATATTCTGAGGGAGGAGTGGGATTTAACAGAGGAAGTGGCAATAAGGCACCTTGTTTCTCTGTTGCCTTTGGCAACATATGACTGTTTCTATTTGCTTAGTTAAGTGGATTTATAAATTAGGTGATCTGGTTTAAACTAAACTTATTTTCACAAATAGCTAAAATACTTTCACAAGCACACTTTCACAAATACTTTCACAAGTAGCTAAAAGATTACTGCAAGGAAATCAAGGATTGAAGATCATTCTTTTACTGAATAAAAGCACCTCCTTAGCTACATTATAAGTTTATGAACAAGAATAATCTAATTAGATCAGAATTTTGGCTTTTCTAACAGTTAAAATTATCAAGACTAAAATGTGGATTTATGTCTATTTCATCAGTAATGCTCTAGATGTACACTGGGCCTTGAGATAATTATCTAAAGATAGTATTCAGCCACTGCAATTAGCAAGATTTTTTTTTAATGTCTATTGCTAACTCTAACTGAAATTTTCTGTTGTTATGCATTTTATACTACATTCGTAATATGTTAGTATAGAGAACTTATGCATGATTGAATTAATATCTACTTAGGAGTGCCTGCTCACAGAAATTTACTGAAAGTGGAATGTGATCAAGAGTGTAAAAGGTCTGCTTCTAAATTGACATGGACCTGGGTTCAGATCATCCCAGTGGCCCCTCTTACTATTTGTGCGACCCAGGGCAAGTTTCTTAACCTCTCTCAGCATCAGTTTTCATATGTGTAAAATAGGGATGCTGGATTTAAAATACATTATGAAGATTAAACTAAAGGATGTGTGTGAGCCCCTCACTGAGCACGGTCCCCCCTTGCGGCAGGCCTTCCTCTCGCTGCTCAGCTGTGTGTTTGTTCACTGATGCTGGGCCTCTGCACGCAATGCTTGTATCTGGCCATAACATTCTTGCCACCCGTTTCTTGACCTAACTCCTCTTTGGCCTTTAAGATTCTGTTCTGAATCCCACTCTTCCAGGAAGCCTTCCCCATTCCTCCCTCCCTGTCCCCACCCCAAGCTGGGTAAGGTGCTACTCCATAAGAAACTGTAGGTCTCTGTTTCCTTCTCTGTCTTCTGCTTAAGACTGCAAGTTCCTTGAGTCCCGAGGAGAGACTAGAACCCATTTATCCATGTATCTTCTTCATTATCAATGTCTGGTATGAAGCAGGTCAAAAGAAAAATGTCTGTCAGCTGAATGAACAGATGACTGAATGTCTACACAGTTTCTCTTTCTTAGCAAATGTGACCCTACCACATCCTGAAACCCTCAAGTTAACCTTTAGCATAGGGCGCTGACTCATCTGCCCCTCAGAGAGCACTGGCATGAGCTGAACACATTAAGTTTACCATCCCACAGGCTTACACAAAAGCACCAATGTCTATATAGTCTCTCTTAAAAACCACCATTCCTGTTTTTCAAATGCACCATTATATCTAAGTCAGCAAAGTGGTCTTAAATTTAAAAAAAAACTCACCTCATGCCCAAATTTAAAATCTTCCTAGGGTAAAGTGTGTGGTTGATGAGAGCTTAACTACACATGCCAGGCATTATGCATTCCAAATTCCAAGTATTACTCTGAGAAACTATCCAATCTGCCAAAGAGAAGATTTGTGGCAGAAAATAAATACATACATAGTGTGTATACTGGAGGTACCAAAGTTTTAAAGTGAAAGCCCTTAGGGTTTGTGGGAATTTAACATCTTTTTGATTAAAAATATCAATATTTTCATTTTAACTTGAAGGCTAGGGAAACAGTATGCTATTTTGTTAATTATTTTTTTCCACAAGGGAATTTACTATTAAGGACAGGGATCTTTTATACATCTGGCAATAATATAAGTAACTCCTTCAACAACAAGAAGCCTACTGCAGTACTTATTATACACCAGAATTCAAATTTTAGGTCAATATTTTAATAAATAAGTATATTTGAATTAAAAAGCCAAAATTTATTTAAAATATTTGAATAGGTGTCTCTCAAATGCTTACGTATTAATCTCTGGGAAAAGCCATAAAAACTATAGCTAATAGTCTATTAGCTATTTTGGAAACTCCTTTTTTTTTTTTTTTATAATAGGCAAAATGGACTTTATTTATTTATTTATTTATTTTTGGCAAGGTAATGTCTCAGCTTTTTATTTTTTTATTTTTATTTTTTTCCATTTATTTTTATTAGTTGGAGGCTAATTGCTTTACATCATTGCAGTGGTTTTTGTCATACATTGAAATGAATTAGCCATGGATTTACATGTATTCCCCATCCCGGTCCCCGCTCCCACCTCCCTCTCCACCCGATCCCTCTCGGTCTTCCCAGTGCACCAGGCCCGAGCACTTGTCTCATGCATCCATCCTGGGCTGGTGATCTGTTTCACCCTAGATAATATACATGTTTCGATGCTGTTCTCTTGAAACATCCCATCCTCGCCTTCTCCCACAGAGTCCACAAGTCTGTTCTATACATCTGAGTCTCTTTTTCTGTTTTGCATATAGGGTTATCGTTACCATCTTTCTAAATTCCATATATGTGTGTTAGTATACTGTAATGGTCTTTACCTCTCTGGCTTACTTCGCTCTGTATAATGGGCTCCAGTTTCATCCATCTCATTAGAACTGATTCAAATGAATTCTTTTTAATGGCTGAGTAATATTCCATGGTGTATATGTACCACAGTTTCCTCATCCATTCGTCTGCTGATGGGCATCTAGGTTGCTTCCATGTCCTGGCTATTATAAACAGTGCTGTGATGAACATTGGGGTGCACGTGTCTCTTTCAGATCTGGTTTCCTCGGTGTGTATGCCCAGAAGTGGGATTGCTGGGTCATATGGCAGTTCTATTTCCAGCTTTTTAAGAAATCTCCACACTGTTTTCCATAGTGGCTGTACTAATTTGCATTCCCACCAACAGGGTAAGAGGGTTCCCTTTTCTCCACACCCTCTCCAGCATTTATTGCTTGTAGACTTTTGGATAGCAGCCATCCTGACTGGCGTGTAATGGTACCTCATTGTGGTTTTGATTTGCATTTCTCTCATAATGAGTGATGTTGAGCATCTTTTCATGTGTTTTTTTGCCATCTGTATGTCTTCCTTGGAAAAATGTCTGTTTAGTTCTTTGGCCCATTTTTTGATTGGGTCATTTATTTTTCTGGAGTTGAGCTGAAGGAGTTGCTTGTATATTTTTGAGATTAATCCTTTGTCTGTTGCTTCATTTGCTATTATTTTCTCCCAATCTGAGGGCTGTCTTTTCACCTTGCTTATAGTTTCCTTTGTTGTGCAAAAGCTTTTTTAAGTTTCATTAGGTCCCATTTGTTTATTTTTGCTTTTGTTTCTAAAATTCTGGGATGTGGGTCATAGAGGATCCTGCTGTGATTTATGTCGGAGAGTGTTTTTGGCAACTCCTCTTAATTTAGAGACTGGTCATGAATTTCAGATCACTTTTAAACACATGCCCAAGTCACCATAGGCAGGCCTTAAGATAGGAACCCCTGATTTCTGGGTGTCTGCGGATGAAAAGGCTATCTAGTTAGGACAGTCCTTACTGCCACAATAGGAGGGACTGATACCTGTCGTGGTCCCCGCAGCAGGGGTTGAGTCCCTCGATCCCTCCATGGGCTGAGTGGCTAAGGTCTAGGGAAATGGCATCACAGTACTCTGGTTCCCACTGGGAGTTAGAACCTGCTTTTCTAAGAAAACAATGCAGTAGCTCAGTGCTTTTCAGGTGAAGAGGATATTTAGGAGGGTTTTTTTCAAACTATAAACACCATCTGTCACCTCCCCAAGATTCTGAAAGGTTCCCAGCTATGAACTGTTACCTTAGGGCCACCAAAAAGGAAGACAGTGTACTGAAGCTGGGATCAGTCATAGACTACTCCACAATCAGAGTATAACTAAAGAACAGATGCTTACAACAGAATTTCCTATTGTTGTATTGGTCGTTACAAAATACATACTCAAGCTTTAGCATAGGAAACCAAAATAGCAGAACATGGTCACTTGTCCAGGAGACAGCCATCATGGCTAAAATTAATTCTATGGAAAAATAGGTTCCAGGCTCTGAATAAGTGTTTATTACAAAAGTCTGTTCCTGAGTTTCGATCTGGTAATAGATTAGGGCATGTATAAAGCCTGAAAGAATAAGGGGTTACATTGTTTGTTGATTTAAAGGAGACATAAAACCAAGATAAACAGAAACAACAGATTGTATGACAAGGATATACTTACAAAAAGAAAAATCTTGAGTAAAGTTGAAATAGCATTGCTCTAGGGGGAATGATACTTCAAAAATATAAAATAAAAGTCAAGGTGAGAGCTTTTGAGGGAAACAAAAGCCCTTTTTTTCTGATGGTAGAGTTGTGATTTAGCACGTTCAACATCATTCTAGAAAGGTTGAGGATTTTCACTTCTGGCTTCCCCTAGAAGCCAGGTGGCTGAGGTCAGAAGAGCATGCCATGACAACTACATGATGGAGAGAAGGGAGATGAGCTGGGAAGAGACATACTGGGGCAGGGAGAAACATTCTGGAGTTCCACAGGACTCTGTCCCAGATCCAAAACTTACCTCTGGCTGCCCTGTACTCTCTCCCTGCAGTGATCACGGAAGTGGGCCTGGCACACAGGAGTTTCAGTATTCATTTATACCCTCCTTTCCCTCCTGCTCCCTCTCCCGCGCCCTTTCTGGGCCCCCACTCACCCCCCTCAGGTCTTGTCTGGTTGTCACTTCCACAGGGAGGCCCTCTCTAGTCCTCCAGATTAAGTTAGGTTTCCCTGTTATTTGTTCCCGCAGTATCCTGGGCTTTGAAATGCTCATCATATTTGCAAGCACTGGTTTAAGGTATGCCCTCTGGCTATACTGCAAACTTCATGAAAGCCAATTGTGTCTCCACCCCTAGCGTTAGCTCAATGCCTGACCCACAGAGGTCCTGATGATCACTGAGTGCATTGTTGGATAAATGAAGAACATAGAATGAGATAAAATAGGACACGGAGTTATCTCAAAGTGAGCTTCAGCACAGGTAGAAAATGGATGCAACAGTACAAAGCACATGTGGTATGCTCCTGACTATTAAATCCTAGGTTAGGAATTTCCAGAGTAAAGGAAAAAAGGAAAGAACAAAGGAATTGCAGCTCCTAGAGAACACAGGTTTAAAAATACATTTACACTTGATACTAATTTGCTTTTTTATTATTAAGAATGCATTCAGAATTTTAAGTAAGCTTAAAGAATGGCATGGAATTTTAATTTCCATCAGAAAGAACCATGTTTTTAAAAATTTAAAATACTATCTCAGTTCATAACTCCTCTTATTTTGCAGGGTAGAGGAAAGTGGTGATCACAGCGGTACCAAAATCCTCATGTATCCCTCCTGTATAAGAAATAATAAAATTAATGGATTACATTGAAAAAATTCTATAAGAAATATGAAAATATCCATGGAAGTAAGAGACTACCTTCTAGTTGGCAAGCTGCTGCTAATTTGAGTCCTTAAGCATAGTTATCCAGCTCTATCCTCCACTGCATTATTTATAATGTCCAATTATCTTCTACTCTAAAGCTGCAAAACTTTCCTTCCCAAAGAAATACTTTTAACAATTTATAAGAATAAAATGACTAGCAGTAGAATGTTTTAATGAAAATACATTTCCAACGTGATAGTCTACGCCCTACAATCGTGTTGTGGAAGAGTTGTGCCCAACGCCAATTATCATATGTGGTAATAAGACATTTAATGCCCTGGCAAGTATGGGGTGTATGAACTTCTAATTGGGACTCTCACATTTCAGATCTCTTTTTGTTCCCTTTGCCAAGCAGAAATAAAGCTTTTCTCTTAATCCTAATGGATTTGACAAGCATCAATTTTCATATTAGCTTACTGTCTGATAGTCTTTGAAGTGGAACTCCCTTGAGTTGTGAGTAGAGAAATCACCTTTCCGGTGAGAGAGCTTTCATGATATTCAAAGCAGTGGAAGGCTCCATGAAGCAGAACTGTAGTGTGGAAGAGTACACAGGAGCAAGCGAGAACCACGGCTTTCTCACTGCCGCACACGGCATCCTGACCTTCTCAGAGGGTGGGAAGGCTTCTCGGAGTGTTTGGTTATACACACCTGACTTTCCCATGAAAGCGCAAGGGCCACACACGACCACACAACGTAAAGGGACTAAGAAGTGCAGGTAGGGAAGTGCAACTGTACCTACCTATGGTCCTGCTTTGTTCCAGACAGTTCTCATACATGCTGCTGCGCTTGGAGTTTCCAGGCTGTGCGAACAACAAATTGTGAAACATTTACAAACACAGTGTAAGTTCATAAACTTGCAAAAGACATATAAAACTCCCAGCACAATTTAGTAGAAAACACCACTTTCTGACAGAGGAAGTGAGATAAAGTGAGAAAAAGAAGTTGATATTTTAAATGGGAAGTATAGCCTCCTTTCCCAGTGCATTGTTTTGGAGCTGCAGAAGTGGGTCTGATTAGGGTATGGGGGGGTCAAAACCGTAAGGTCTATACCCTGAGGGTTATTGCTTCTGCTTGGGAGGTCACATTCCAGGACTCAATCCAAGCTCAGCCAGAAAGGGTGATTTCCAGGACACTTGTACAAACACTGGCCATTTAGCAAACTTCTATCTAACTGTGAGTTGGCAGATTGGAGCCCTACTGTACTGAGGTGTGTGCCAGATTCACTTTTCATCCTCGAAAAATCTCATGCTATCAAAGGCTTCGATTATCCATATACACAGCTCTCTTCAGTAACAGTGTGGGATCCACTGACACCTTTGAGAAGGGCAATATCTATGCTTTAGAAAGATTAATCCATCAGTACCATGCAGGAGGGTTTAAGGGGATGAAACCGGGGACAGAGAAGGGGCCTTCAGGGTCACCTGAGCAAATCCAGGCCAGAACTTAGAAAGATGCAATAGGAAAGATACAGGCTGAGTAGATTCAAGATATTTTCATGGTAGGATCCTAGGTCTTAAAGACTGAGTTGATATATGGCCTGAAGTGTGAGAAAACAAAAAACTGTAGATTAGTGAAAAAATAAGAATGCCATTAATAAACTTGAGCACATCAGGAGAGGAATCTGGCTTGGAGTCAAGGTAAAATGCTGAGTTTAATCACAGCTGGAAAGGCACATATGGCTAAAGACAAAGAAGCTGGTGGAGTCTGTACACAGGTGGCATGTCAGAGGAGAAACCAGGGCCAAGGGCAGAGCATTAGAAAGGGAGTCCATGGCAGTAAAGCAGATGCTTGGTTTCACAGGGGTGGATATACAAGAAAACAAGATTAAAAAAAGATAAGATGCAACTTCCTCTGAAATGCATCAAAAATAAGAAGGATTGATGGATGACAGCTACATAGGATGACAGGGCAAATAGAGTAAAATTATAATTATAGAATCTAGGTGGTGAGTATTCATGTGTAATTCTTTCAACTTTTTTCTATGTTTGAATATATTCATAATAAAATTTTAGAAAACAAGAAAAAGAAAGAAAAGCAGCAACTAAAGATGCAGAATGAATGACACATGGAAATGTTTTAGAAGCTAAAAGAAGAGGTCTAAAAAAAGAAGAGAAAGCCAACAGGTATCACACGCTATAAACAGATTCAAAATACTGAAGGAAATAGATTTAGCAATTACACTGACAACCAAACAACCAAAAAACCACTGGTGAGCACTGTAAAAGAAAGTTCTATCAAGCTGTCAAGCAGAATTCAGATTTTGGAAGTGTAGTGTGGATGTGAATGTAGAAATACAATGTTTTCTACAAGTCTGTGGATGAAAGGAAGATGAGAGGGAGGTGGGATATTATTAGATGGGTTGGGGGAGTCCAAGTTTATCTGCAGACAGAAGAGAAAGAACTGGTATACAGAGAAAAAAATAACAATGGAAATACAGGTTGATGGACAGAACAAGAGCACAGTGTTGGTGCAGGGAACAGGGTTGGGAGCTCAGGGGAAGGATTAACTGTGGAAACAGTAGCTAAGGAAGAGAACCAATGAGGACACAGAAACACATGGGAGACAGAGAAGGATGAAGTTGAGGATTACATGTTGGACCGTCCTAGTCTTTCCAGAGAAGTAAGATGTGAGGTCACTTGCTGAGGATGAGGCTGGGGGATTAGGAGTAAAAGTTACTTAGCACAGGCTCCGACAATGATTCATTCTCTGGCTCTGTATTGAGGAAGATGATATCTTCTGTAAACTAGCATTTGGAAATCCTCAAATTAAGCTCAGTGATAGGACAGAACTGCAATGTTAGCTACAATAGCAATAAACTATTACTTACCAAATAGCACAGCTTTTCACACCGTATGGGGCAGTAAGCCATTTGTTCTGTGGCTTGAACTTTGATCCGCACATCTGAAACACCACCTTCAGGCGGCTGCTTCCCTGGGATTTCATTATAATACTCATGATCTTCTCTCTCCTCAGCATGGCCATCAACAGGCACCTCCTCACTGTAAGGGAAAAAAGGATCCCCAAGAGGCTGGGTGGGAATTCATATACTGTAGGGTATGCAGAGAGATCAGAACCATGCAAATCACCCTGAAAAACTTTTCATGCTTTAAAAATATAGCTGTGTTTAGGTGATGTCAAACATTTGGATAGAAGCAACCAGATGGCTGCATTGTTTAGCTTTCTGTAGACAATCAAAGTGGGGTAAGCCAACAAAGAGTGCCATGGGTGATGCTTTCACATCTCCTCTCAGTGATAAAATATGTACATATACATATATATATATATATAACTTCCTGAATGTAAGTTGTTTTTGTCAATCGAATAAAAATACAAAGTTTTCCTTAAATTCTTCAGCCCACTTTCACTATAGCATTTTGGAAATGCTTTTGCTCAAAGAAAATTTAGATACTGAGCAGAGGGCCTGGCTCAGTTTACCATAAATAGAAGATGAAAACTTCAGTTTATGAAGATGAAAAAAAAAAAATACAAGAGCTATGGCCAGCTATCTTGTCTGCACAAATCTGGAGTATATGTGATTCATAAAAAAATATTAGAACCATATGTGGCAAGTGGATAGATTCATGTAAACATGCATTGTTTTTAAGAAATAGGGAGAAAAAAAAAACAGATTTTTCTTCCAAACTGGAATTAGTTGAAGTTTCTTATGAGAAAAAAATAAATCAAGTCCATTTGGACTGAGTTGACTTCACTGACAACCCACAGCTTTGCTGGGTTCATTACATGTCAGTGAAAAGACAACACTAAAATGCAAGAGGCACCCTAGAAAAAATTCAGCATCAAGGCCTGCTGGTAGCCCCTCTTCTTTGCTGTGCTAAACCACCTCTGAGAGGAGATCTCCAAGTCTGGTGTTTGTTGATACACGAAATGATAAATTGGGGGGGGGGGGGGGTTTCCAGAAATGCATTTACAAGTGTCCAAGAATTTTATTTCTTGGGTATGAATTCTGCCACCCAGGGACCTCACTGCATTCCACACGTGGTGGAGTCTGACAGGCCTGAAAGGGTTCAGCTTTCACCGTGGACTTTCTGTGGTGCAGACAGGGTCACGTCATGCTCTACCCCTTGGCCTGGCTGGAGCTGAGCTATCTGCACTACCCACCAGCAAACAGGAGTTCCTGCTACACACATTTGATTCTTAGGATTTTCTTCTTTCTTAATTATTTTAACTGATATGCAAGGGATCTGGGGTTGAAACAAACCTGAGAAATTTCTTCTTGCTCATTTTATGACACTATCTAATTAATGCAGAGCTCTGTATAACATCAGAGAAACATGGTCAACCCACTCTCACTTTTAGTGTTTCCTCTAATTCTATTACAAAGCAAGAGGAAATATCTAGACAAACAAGAAAGGAAGAAGAGTAAAAATGTCACTATTAGTTTGTATGGAAACTGTAGCTATTGGTAAATAAAAAATTACTAATTTCACTAGTCCATTTTAAATGCCATATTAATTTTAAAACAAAACAAAGTATGGTTAAGTCAAATAATTATAGAATTCCTGGCTGACCTTTCACAAGAAGGATTCAAAGAAGGATTTTTCAAATACTGTTTAAACCGGAGTTCAAAAGCCTGTCCTATGGTACTTATGACGTCTTGGGCCATTCCATTGCGGCATTCCAGTATGTGGCAGGCTGCAAGAGGACATACCAAAAAAATTACAATAAATTTTTAGTAAGAGAAGATTTTATAAAGCTGAAATACTTCCAGAACATGAACTGGTAAATAAAAGGAAGTAGGTTTCCAAGTTTTCTGCAGCTCTGAAATCGCATACTTCATATTATATATGCGTCAAAGAGAAGAAACATTCACATTTTATGACGAGATACTTCAAAACACTTATAAATTCCGGTCTTAAGGCAGGTATTTGGGGCTCACACTTTAATAAAGGCAGACTGATCTTGACTAATAATGTGATTCATGTTCTGTGTTAGCTCTAGAACTCAATACAGAAGATGATTTTAGGGCGCACTGTCTTTACATGGCACTTTATGGATGACTGAAAACAAAATAACTTTCTACATGCGCCCCTCACAAATGGGGAAGAGCTACTGGTGAAGACAGGGGCTTTAGACTACCCTTTCCTCTAGCCAGCCCTTTGCCCTGTCATTACTACTCAAAATCAGTGATGGTGTGGGAAACCCTGTCTTTGAAATCCTACTAAAGAACTATCTCCAATAAGCACCAAATCAAGATTTCATGAAGACTGATATTATCAGAGGATATTAAAATTTTTATAGATACTTTCTCTAAAAAGCTGTTACTAGAAAGGGCTAGCTTTCACTAGCAAATTAAAGAAATAAATTGTGGAGGGGGCAGCTGACAGAACATCACAGGCAAATTAGCAAATCTGCTACTGCTAAGTTAAAGCCAGAGCTTATGTTCAGGGGACCATAAATTAATCTCCCCATCTCATGGAATGTCGGTTGCCTTGATGAGAGAATGGTGTTGTGCTCAGGGCCTTAATATACGACTGAACTGAATCTGAAGTTTCATAAGGATGGCTTAAAATCATAAGGATGACTTAAGATACGGTAATAAGTTTCATGAGATTTTCAAAATTACATTGGTCTGTATAGCCTGAAGAATTGAGGAATGAGGGAAAAGCTTGATAATTTTTCAATATACAAGAATGTTGTAAAAACTGTCAGCTATTTTCTGAGAACAGGAAAGACTTAAGTGGGTGCCTAGGGAATTAGATTAAATAAAAAGGAAGCTGTGAAATGGTGGGACTGTGGGAACAATACTGGAACATTTTACTAAAAGGGATACATACCTGAGGAAAGGAGGATACCTATTGTGATGAAAGCATGTTTTTAGGCTCTGAGTAGTCTTGAGAAGAAATTTATATTTATCTAAAGTAAAATAAAATTCAATCAAGCCCTGGTGCCTCAGATGGTGAAGAATCGGCCTGTAATGCAGGAGACCGAGGTTCAATCCCTGGGTCAGGAAGATCCCCTGGAGAAGGAAATGGCAACCCACTCCAGTATTCTTGCCTGGAGAATCCCATGGACAGAGGAGCCTAGCAAGCTACAGTCCACGGGGTCACAAAGAGTCAGACACAACTGAGCAACTAACACTTTCACAAAATTCATTCACGCCTAACTGGGTTTGCAGAGCCTATAACAGTAGGTTATGGTAGAACCTACAATGGTTTCCTAGCTTTATGTTGATAATCATCTCAAGGAATATCAGACAATTCTCATTTCAAAATTAGCTGGACATTTACTTAAGGAATTTATGTCTCTGAACTTTTGGAAGGGAGGTTTGTGTGTGTATAGGCAGGGGATGGTATTACTAAATCAAACGATGCTAAGATATCAAATCTCCAAAAGGGTTATTGATCACTTCTTGTAAGGTTGCCCCTTTCAAGAAGCAACCTGGATCTTGAAATAGACTTAGGAGCTAATTATAGTTTTGAAAACCCGATTAACAATGTCTATAAATTAATAGCCTTCTTACCAAGGAAAATGTTTAGTCTATTTTCAGATTGCCATTGTATATTGCCCCCCTTTTTTCTCTACACTAGCTTCACACAGTGACTAATGCACTGAAGGTGTTTTAAAAGTATGTGTTGAATGAATTAATGTTGATTTCTCTGAATCACACTCATAACTCTGCTGTGAGAAATCATCTTCAGTTCTACTGAAGTGAGACTGGCAGTGAGCCCCTATCACGGGGAAGGTTTCATGACCACTGAGTGGTACAAATGACTGCTTGGGTCATTTGTGGAAATGGTCTCCTCCTTTTGGGTTAGGCTTCACATCCTTAAACTTATAAAGTGCCCTTGGACACGTGTCCTTTGGTTGAGCCCCAAAATAATTGTGCTACACAATGGTAAAAAAAAAGGTAACTCACTTGAATTATTTTTTCATCTCATAAATTACTGGTCTACTTAAAAATGAAGTCAAGGCCAGAAATCAAACCAATATTATAAAGCAATCATCAACAATTAAAAATAAATATTTTAAAAAATCAAAATGGAAACAATTTATGTAATCTTACTTTCTCTTAGGATAAACAAGATGTCTTGAGATAAAGATGGAAAAGACAGTGGGAGAGGTGGGAAATTCAACTATAAATAAATAGATAAATAAGAAAAACCAAAGTTTATCTCCCATGAGAGGGATAAGAAAACAACAATGGCTGAAAGAACTCTGTGATAAGATGCAGATCCCAGTTCAATGGCCAATTATACCACAGGCTATCTGAATAAAGTATGCTACACCCAGGCCCTCACCTGCCAAGACAGGGCATTGCATGATCTCTGAAGTCCCTTCCTGCTTTACAGAAATCCTATCCTCCCTCAATTACAGTACTTTAAACTCTCGGAGGAACAGGGCAAGGCACATGGGCATGCAGGAATGAATGAATGACCCAAACCCACCAACCATCCTCTACCACTTCTCATGTACTACCAAAATGTTTTATTTCTCTCAGCTTTTCTGATTCTGATACTTGAGGCTTTGGTCCTTTCCCTGGGCCGATGCTTACCAACAAGATTTTTTACTTTCCTTTGGATAACCATGTTACTGTCATATTACTTTTTAAAGATTAAACAGGAAGAGAAGAAAAAACCGTGGTGCCTATCTCCAGGAAAGGAACAGCTGGACACGATGCCTGGCCCTGTGCAAGTGTCCTGTGCAGCCTCCTCACTTTTGGGAGCACACACATTTTGGTCGTGCTTTTGTTGCCACTTACGTGCTGCTCTGTGAAAATTCTCTTTGTTCTTTTTTAGGTTGGTCATGACCTACACAGGAATGGGTTTTGAATCACATACAAATATGCCTAATTCCCATTGCTAGACCCATCTCCAAAAACTCAGATAAGCACCAGCTTGGCTAAGAATTTCTCAATCTTTAGCTAATGAGAAGGAAGTAAAAAGCATATAGAAAATTCCAATTCTCCCCAAAACAATTTGACTTTCCAGTGATGGGGGCGGGGGGGAGGGCCTGAGCTTTGACCTCCATGTTTGAATTAGACACAGACTTGAGTTCTTTTCATTGTGAATGAAAAGAATGTTCTGTCTGTGAACAGACCTACAATTCTATTCTTGAGTATCAGGTACTCTATTAAGTAAGATGTAAAAGAATCTTAGATTCATATTCTTCTTTTTCATTTGGTTTCCTAACTGGATAGTCATGGACAAGAGGCTGAGAACAATTCTTAAAGAATAACAGACCTTTCTTTAATGCTTTATGCTTAAATAGACCAGTTTTGCTTTTGTTGTTCATTTGCTTTTGGTTTTTGGTTTTTATGGGAAAACTAGAAATTCAAAAGTGCAGCTTCTCAGATCACCCACCAGATGGCGGTGTGGGACTGAAGCATAGCGTCTACCAGCCCTTAGGAAGAAATCGGTCTGATGCAACTAGCCGGCTGTCAGACCACAGTTTATCAATGTCACCAGGACAGCAGCACATATATTTTACAGCCATAAACATAAATAACATAACTGGGTTAATTTAAATTGGTTTTACAGGGTTCTTTTTGTTTTGTTTTGTTTTTTGCTTTCTTTATAGAGAGGACCACGACATGCCTATATCCAGGTAGTCCAGGTAAACCGGGACCTCTTCACAGACTAGATTCAGAGAAAATATTCAAGCTGTCCTGCACTGCACACATTTGGAGTAAGAAGTGAAGCGATTCTTCATTTATAGCAATTACAGGGGTAAGCTGTATTGGTCACTAGGTAAACTCAAAATACTCTTACTGGGTGGCTCACCTTTTCCACAGAAGAGGCCTTTTATAAAATAAGGAGTTTACTAACGAGTCCGAGCCAAGATGGAAAAAGTGGTAGCTTCCCTGAGTTGAAGGCACTAATTCTAAAAGTGAATCAAACAGAGGGGAGACTGTGGGAACATTCAGGATAATTAGCATGAAGCCCGGGCTCCTCTGCCTGTCAGCCAGGCTCTCCTCATCCCTGAGGTCTGACTCCTGCCGTGACCCGTCCACTGACACCGTGGTTCCCACAGTGACCAGCAGCCTGTCAATCGCTGGACTGAATGGCATTTTCCACCTCCATTCCCCTGAACTCCTTTTCAGTCTGAGACATTCCCGGGTATCTTCTCCTAGAGAAATGTGTTCTTCCTCCATCTTAGTTGATACTGATCTCTCGGTTTTCTCCCATTCCCTGAGACCTCAGCCCTCTTCTTTCTGGGTTCTACTTTCAGATATCTTGCTCACTTTTAGGGCTAAGAAGCTGCAGCTTCTCCAAACCTGAAACCTCTCCTCAGCCCCTACAAACCTCCAGGTTTCTCCTCTCAACTGAACATTCGCCCCGGGAAGAGCCAAATTCACTAGGTAATTTTATAATGTCTTTCTGGTTTCACTTTTTTTTTTAAATCAAGGATTTAGAACATCTTTTTCTTTTACAAATGCAATAAACATTCATTATAGGCAGTTTTAGAAAACAGACACCAAGGAAAAGAAATTACATAAGTCTCACTAACCAGGAATATCTGCATACTATTAACATTTTGACATATGTCTTTATAATTTTTTTTTCAAAAAATTACCTGGGATCATACCAATCACATTGGTTCATAATCTGCTTTTTGTACTTAATAATATTAATTGCTGCATGATAGAACAGCCTATGGATTCATTTAAATAATTTGCTATTTATAAATACTGAATTTTCCTTTTCTTACCTGACGTGCTCACATGTGCTCAGTCGTATCAGACTCTTTGCGCCCCTATGGACTGCAGCTCGCCAGACTCCTCTGTCCATGGGATTCTACAGGCAAGAATACTGGAGGGGTACTATGCCCTCTTCCAGGGGATCTTCTGGACCCAGAGATTGAACCCACGTCTCCTGCATCTCCCGCACGGCAGGCGGATTCTTTCCTGTTGAGCCACCAGCGATCTTTATTGCTTAATCTTTGTACATGTCTCATTTCCTTAGAAATGAAATTGCTGATTCAAAACTGTTTACACAGGCTTCACTGATGGCTCAGTAGTAAAGAACCTGCCTGCCAATGCAGGAGACACCGGTTTTTCCCTGATCCGGAAAGATCCCACATGCTGCGGAGCAACTAAGCGTGTGCACCACAACTGTTGAGCCTGGACTCGAGAGCCAGGGAGCCGCCACCGCTGAGCGCACACGCTGCAAATACTGAAGTCCGAGCATGCTGGAGCCCACGCTCTGCAACAAGAGGCGCCTCCACAAGGAGTAGCCTGCACACCCCAACGAAGAGGAGCCCCAGCTCAAGGCAACCAGAGAAAAGCCTGCACGCAGCAACAAAGACCCAGCACAGCCAGAAATAAGGAAAGCTCTTTTTAATAAGTGTTTACACTTTTTAAAGTTTTGATGCAAGTTTTCAGTATGCTTTGAAACAGTTGGATCTACACTCCTACCAGAAGTGTTCAGGAGATACTACAACTCCAAATCACATTTTACCTTTTTATAAAAGACAAATATGGTATCTATTTATAATTTGTGTTTCTTTGATTGCTAGTAAGTTTTTTGCTTTTCTTTTATGCTTCTTGGTGCCTGGTAATCTTCTTTTGTGTGTGCTCCAGACCTGAAGTTGGTCCAGGTGCTTACTGGCCGGGTGAGTTTAGTAAAACTACCTTTTCAATCCTAGAGCTTGTTTCTTTAAAAAAGCAGTGACATTAATATCTACTTCATAGGACTGTTGTGAGGATGAAAGGAGACCATGCAGAAAGTATTCCTGACAATGCCTAGCATGTGGTGAGCACAAAATAAACGATAACTTTTTTTTGTTCTTTCTCTATTGGATTGTTTTTCCTATTTGTAAAAATGCCTGTTTTTTTTACTGGCAAGCCACTTCAAATCACTCAGGACAATAATAATAATAACGGCTATCATTTATTGCATACTTATAATGAGCCAAGCATTGAGATACTTGCATTGAATACAATATCTCATTAAGTCCTCGAGACCACCTGATTTCTATTTCTTTATCAATGCTCTTATCTAAATAGCTCCCAACAACTATTACTTCATAATTTTGTCCAGACTGTCCCTTCTCCTGACCATGTAGTTTAGAGCATCATCAGCCCTGCCCAGGACCAGTGAGATGTCCTCCAGACTGAACTCCACAATCCCAGACCACCTTCCTGCCCTCAATATCACCTTTACAGAAGGAAAGGCCAGAAAAGTTATCATTTTATAATTTTAGTAGAATGGTGGAAACCAGAATAATTCTTTATAAAGCTCAAAATCTTCAACAGCCCCCAGTAACCTTTTGGCTGGCCTTCTAAGCCTCGACAGTCTGTTTCTTTCCTTTCAGCCATGGAACACTTGAGGTGTGTGCAAACAGTGGGTATGCTGTGAACAGAACGGCTTCTCGCAGAGAAGGTACATGAGAGAAGGGGCCAGGGGACAAGAAAAGGAGCAGAACGAGTTGAGGAGATACAACTTTTTTGCCCAAGAAAATCACACTATGTTTCTAAGTCATCTAGCTACCAGACAGACCCATTTCCCTAAGAAGACAGAAAGATGAGAAGACAGGAAAGGAAATGGTGCTTTCTCAGTATTATCTGTTACTCCTCTCAACAACATTAGCAAGTAGATGTTATTACTACCTAAGAGGGGTGGGATGAGGGGAGGGGAGGAAGGTTCAAGAGGGAAGTAATGTACGTATAATTACGGCTGATGTGCTGTTGCACAGCACAAACCAACACAACATTGTAAAGCTATTTTCCCCAATTAAAAATAATTTTTTAACATAAAAAAGAAAGAAACTGAAGTTTAGGATGTGAAACAACTTGGCTGAGGACTACAATGTGATGGGGGAAGAATTATGATTCCTGTCCAGCCTGGCTGACTCCAGCATCTTACTTATTTCTTATACCTGGGCTGGGACTAAAGAAAGAAAACACTGAAACCTCTATATGAAGAGTTCCTGAGTCCATTCTCTTCTTACTCTGAAATCCATCCATGAGCTCAGTCAACAGTTCTCATAAAAGCCTTTGCAGAATCCTCAAGCCAGGATCCCCCTGAATTCCTTCTAGCAGCTCGGCTCTGATGAACTACTCAGGCACCAGACTTCAAAGTGAATGAGTTGCACTGCATTCTCTCTGCTTTATTTCACTTAAGCATGTGAGGAGATCGGCAGGCATGTGGATACTAGGCCATTACCCTCCGTAACAAGCATAATCTTTGAACCCCTTCTGCTGAAAAGCAAGGACATGCCTGAGATATTCAGTGACTGATGGCAAAGTTACTAAATATCTAGAGTTCCTGATCTATTTGTTATTCCTTTCACCCTGTCCTTTTCAGGTTGAAAGAAAGGGATTTGTTGTTCAGAGACCTTCCCCAAAATAGCCTACTTCCATTCTTTAGGGAGGGCTTCAGTGGTAAAGAATCTGCCTGCCAATGCAGGAAACACAGGTTCAATCCCTGGGTTGGGAAGATCCCCTGGTGAAAGGAATGACAACCCACTCCAGTATTCTTGCCTGGGAAATCCCATGGACAGAGGAGCCTAGTGAGCTAAATCCATGGGGTCACAAAGAATTGGACACAACTTAGTGACTGAACAACAACAACTTTAGGGAAGCTCAGGCTTGATTAAAAGAGGTTGCTCTTCGGTATCCTTTGTTGTGTTCCATTCCTACTCCCCTTCCTTCACTAGTTCCTGTCTCTCCCATCTACTCGTTGAGTAATATACATTCTTTATTATGTAGTTTAGAGTCTATTTTAAAGGAGTATTGCACAGTATTTATAACCCGTTCTTCTTTCGATTTCATCGAGCCATGCTCTCTTGGGCCACATTTACTGAGCATCTACTCTGTGCTGGGTACTGTGCCAGCAGGTGGTCCTCGGTTTCATTTTTGACAATCATGATAGTTTCCAAATGGACCTGCCCTCTCCCTGAATCCATCCACTGCAGCCTGCTGCCAAATGAACCTTCCTAAATCTCTGCTTTGTAAACTGCTTTCTCCACCCATCTGCTCATAAGATTGTCTCTACTTATTAGCTCTCTCCTATCTGCCCTCTAGATGTCCTTTTTTGACTTTTTCCCCCTTCATACACAATCTGCATCCTATTAAGTGTGTATTCACCTGCTCCCCAGTATTTGTTGTTGTCATTTAGTTGTTAAGTCATGTCCAACTCTTTTGTGTTTCCATGGACTATAGCCTGCCAACCACTGTCCATGGGATATCCCAGGCAAGAATACTGAAGTATTGGGAGTAGATTGCCATTTCCTTCTCCAAGGCATCTTCCCAGGGATTGAACCTGCATTTCTTGCTTTGGCAGGCAGATTCTTTACCACTGAGCCACCAGGGAAGCCCTGCTCGCCAGTACACCACGTGCATTTTTGCCTCATGTTTTTATAGCTCTTTGAATCTCCAAATTCCACTCCATACAGACTTAATGAATGTTTGGCAGCAAACTCCACCCTGAGGTGACAAAGGGTACTGCTCAACTAATAGGCCCTAGTTAAGGAGGGGAGGCAACCTAACACGTTTCCCTAAAATGAGTCTGAATATCCCAGAGTCAGGGATGAGAACACTCAGCATGTCTGTCTACAGAGGCCCAATGGCCTAACTTCAGGCCCTTGTTTCTTAGGCAATCTTACTAAAATCCTGGGATGAGACAACTCATCAACTCACTCTTCCATTCACTCTGTCATTCAACAAAAATAGTTACTGATCATCACCACCTGCAAGGCACTGTGGTGAGTGCTTGGGAAACAACAGTAAGAGAAACAAGTTCCTACCCTCCAGTAGCTTTTAGTAGAAAGGACAGACACTAAACACATAAACAAGTGAGTAACTAAAATGATAAAAATGTAGGGTAAGTGTCAATAGAAGAGAAACAAAGTATTATAACCCAGCAGAGTGGCATATACTACTGGAGACGGTAGATGCTATCAGTCAAAGAAGGTCTCTTTGAAGAAGAGACATTAAAACTGAGATCTAAAAGATGAGGAAAAAACCAAACACTCAGAGTGGCATGCCAGGCTCTTGAACAGCAAGGCACAGGCTTAACACCTATAAACACACATGTGCACACACTTGTCAAGGCAACTACAGGCCCATGACCTCACTGATTTGGGTCTTGTGTGCAATTCATTTGTCCACTGGGGATGTGGCAGCCAGCCCATCTATCCTTACTGAAACAGCTTCCCTTTCATTTATGCAAATAGGTGACAAGACTTTTGGTTGAAGGGATTTAAATCCCACCTATAATTTTTTCTCCATTGCTCTGCTGGCCGGGCTATTTATTTCAAACACATATTTACATAATATTTCTAGACCCCCAATACACTCTAGTGATACTCATCACTTTACATATTGAAAATAATTGCTTGTTACTTTCAAAAGTTGGTATATACCAACTCTTAAGAAAATCTATAAGTTGCTTTCCATACCTCGTTGATTAACTGGATCTTTAGCTACGTAGGCAACATAGTCTGTAGTATCCTATAAAAAAGGGAAAATGATTGCATTTAAAATGAACGGATTGTACTGGTAAAAGATAAAAGAGTACATTTAGGGTATGATATTCAGGCAAAGACTGATACTAAGGTTTCTGTTTAGAGAGCAAAGGAAAGCATCCTAGGAGGAAACATAAACAAATACATAATATATACTCAACAATTGTAGAGTCTACATTCTCTGCCCCTTGGGGAGATAATCTGAAGATTAAAAATTTAGAGGCAGACAATATCACTAAGAATAAAAGAGAATGTAGGTAGGGACTGTGTTAGGACAAATATTCTTTTAAAATGGTTAGGGACTATTACTCTCCTGTGTTAAAGTTGAAATACCAGGGGTTATGTAATCACAAAGTTTATGTCATAAACTAGGATATGAACCATGATTTCCCAGTTGTCCAAACAGATACCATGTAGATCAGAAAAAAAGCTGATTACAGAGACATGGTTTTGTGGTGGTTAGCTTGCTTTTATGCAGTGCAACTTAAGGAATAATATATCAAAAATAAAGGGCATTTATTTGATCAATATATAGAAAGAAGAGATCATTTCTGAAATAGAGAACCCATGAAAATCCTATGGAATTCCAAAATATGCACTCCAAACTAGTGGTAACCAGAGCAGGAGACAATATAGGGAAGGGGGAGAGGAGGTACAAACTATTGGGTTTAAATAGGCTTGAGGATGTATTATATAGCACAGGGAATATAGCCAATATTTTATAATAACTGTAAATGAAATTTACCTTTAATAACTGTATAAAAATAAAGACACTTTAAAAGAAGACACTATAAAAGAAGATATAACAGTGCCATTTCAACTTAGGTTTAAAAGAGAGAGATGTGTTGCTGGCTTTGTAAAAACAAACAAAAAGCTACTTGGTAATTTTGACTTTTATTGAAAACAGTATGCTGATGAATGATAAGATTTTAATAATTAAAGATGCTTTTTGTTATATCAGTTCTCAGAAAAAAATACACACAATACCATTTGCAGATTAGAAGTATGACTCTCTGGAGGGAAGATGAAATCAACCGGCAGGAAATAAAAGTCCATGTTTTTAATACCCTCAAGGACAATCACTTAATAACCCACAATGAATCATACAGGAAACAGATCTCAGGGTCAGTATAACTTGCCTTCAGTTATTTTAAAAAATAACACATACCTAAGTAAATCTCTCTTATACAAAAAGACAAAAGATTTGAAATATTTTATATAAAAATAAGGTCGTACCAATGAGCTTTATATTATATAATTTAGAAGCAAAGACACAACTGTGGGGGCTTGGCTGCCCATTTTAAAGTTGAAGAGGTGGTATGATGTGCGCAATGCTGTCTGCTATCTTAGTTGATGGGAAAGAGGTCTCAAGAATGCATTGTGAGCATGAGAAAATTAAATACACTTCTTATATTTCCAGGCCTCAGTTTCCTCATGTTCAAAAGAATCTCTTAAAATTCCATAATTGTAAATATTTGGGAGAATTTAAAGAATGTTAAAAGCACAAACAATGGGAGGAAATATAAGAAGTATATTTAATTTTCTCATACTCATAATGCATTCTTGAGATGGAGAAAGTATATACAGATACAAAAGCATTACCAAGAACTGTCTTCAGGGCCGACTGAAGGGAGACAAGTAAATTGTTTTTGAGAAGGGAGTAAAGGTGAGGGTGAGCAAGGTCAAGAGGTGAGAAGGAACACCCAGTATTTTTGAAACTTTGGAGGGAATCTGGTAGGAAGAAGGTACCACATTAGGTCATGGAGACTTTTAGCTTCCAAACCCTTGGACTCAATTAGCCGTGAAGCTGTAAATTATCTCAGACAGTGTCCTAAGAAAATATAGACATGTATTAGCAATATTGGTGGCAGTTATCTCTTATCACTCTGTGCCAGGCACTATGCTAGCAGTTTACATGCACCATTTCACTTAATTCTTACAACAGTTTGAGGCAAGGGGGGGATCATTTCCCATTTTACAGAAGAAGACCCTGAAACTTAGAGAGACTGTAAGTTAACTCAAGTCTACTTGACTCCAGAGCCTGGCACTCCACCATATTGCCTTCCTGACCTGAGGGTAAAACTTCAGTTGGGGGAACCTCTAATGCCAAGGCGCTGGTCACCCCAGTTTTCTGTGTAAAATAAGCAAATTTTCTCTCCACCTGTAGAAAACCTGTAGAGGTGCCACTCAATTCAGTAGGTACAAACTTTTCCACGGTAGCTACAAATTCTTTACTATCTTTGGCACTCTGCCACTCAATTCAGTAGGTAAAAACTTTTCCACAGTAGCTACAAATTCTTTACTATCTTTGGTAGCAGCAGTGCTTTGGCTGGTTTAAAGAAATAAAGGCACATAAAGACAGTCTAAAAAGAATTAGGATTCTGGAGAACTATGATGGACGGCATGCAGGGCATGTCTAGGGTAACTGAGGATTTTCGTACCAATTTTAAAATGACAGCGACTCTTGAAACTTGAAAAGGGAAATTTAAGGCAAATGGCAACAATTATTTTTCCCACAGCTCTTACAGAACTCATTACTTTACATTGCTTTACAAAAGTGTTCAAGTTCCTTCATGGATGGTCAAGTTATAGAGGGTTAGGAAGAGGAGTGACAGTGCTGGCCTTATCAGGCTGGAAGCTGACGCCGCTGCTACCAAACATAGCCCTTGGTGTCGCTGCTGAGATCAGATCAGGTTAGATGGAGGGTGGATAGAGAGGAGCTGGGGATAGTTATATGCAGATTTTTGACTGGGTGTAAGATCAGGTAAAATCCCTGCACATTTGTAGGTACAAAAAAAATGTCATAATGTCACAGAGGAGCAAAATCTTTCTCTTGCTCCCTTGGTTTAAACAGATGCGTTTCTTGATCAGTCACAGGCTTCCTCACTTCAACGCCCATCTCCTTTTGCTCTGATCTAGAAATGATGTAGTTGGTGGTCTGGGAATGAATGACCCTCTACTCTGCAGAGAACGCTTGGAGGGAGCGCACCAACTCAGACCTGCACAATTCATGAGAATTGAGCATCACGTGGCCTCTTAGTTGGAACAATAGGTTTTCTCTCCCCAGCTCAACATTCCCTGAATGAGTTTCTGAAAACCTAGTTGCTCATTTCGGATTAGACTTAGTTGCCTTGGCTGCTGGCCAGAATGGCAAATAGGCTTCCCCTCATGTGCCAAATCCAACTGATTAGAAGGATCTGCCTGGCACTCTATGTTGAAAAGAATTCAGAGGGAGGACCATCAACAGACGTACAATATACTTTTTTTTATGAATTTGATGTTATCTACAAGAAGCTTCTCAGATGATAACTCCATGGCTAGTAACACAATGGAGTATCATTAGTTTATCCACTAATCTAAGTATTTACAAAATCAGTGACAGGAAATATTTTGCCAGAACCCAAATTTTTCGCTGCCTGCTACATATGGCTATTCACGAACTGTAATAAGATATTTGGAAAAGACAGGTAGTGGTTAACATGCTTTACATAGAAATTTTTTTAACTCTTATTAAAAAAAAAAGAACTTTAATGAATTCATACTTACCGGATCTCCTCCAGAAGCAAAAGAAATAGACTGCATATGATGATTTGCAATAATCTGCAAAACACAAATTAAAAACATATGATGCTACAAACTAATTATACCTAGTTATATACCATCTAACAGTAATGTACATACATTTGTTTGTTTTGATTTTGCCTGCTCAACATCCCTTTGGAAACCACTCCATCCAAGTTCTATAATAATCTTATTTAGATCAGGAGGTTCTTGTGGGTTTGATCTTACTGCATCTTACTGCCCCCTCCCCTTGCAGCTAGACAAATGATCCAGGTCTAGCCAATCAGAAAACACCATCCACCTAGACACAGCAAAGACAATCAACATCTCTAAGGAGGAAATGAGGAGAACAATTGGAGAAAATGCATCTCTCCCAGTCATTTAATATCTTAGTATAAGCCCAAAGCTTCTAGGAGTCATCTTTTGCTGTCATGAGGGAAAAGTCTGCTAGAAAATTATTTTTCTCTGGAGAAAAATCAAAGCTGAGAGTCAAAAACAGTAAAAAGGAAGGGGGTAACATTTGTTTCATGACTTCAACCAATACATTTCCCCCCTCCCTTTATTTTTTTTTAATGTATTTTTTCTAGTTTAGTTATTTATTTTTATATAAGTTACTCTGACTTGAGTTTCAGTCATTTGCCACCATTCTTACTAAGGTGCTAACATTAAGAGTTTCAATATGAAGTAAGACTATCCAAGTAAACCAAATAAGTTAGCTAAGACTGTCTCTTTTACTTGAGATTCTAGGCTTCCTTATTTGGAAACCACAGTGTAATGACCAATTTGCAGAGACCTATTTGTCATACTCTTTTAAAGATTCATTAAATCAACTATGTACTAATTGACTAATCCTGCCTTCAAATTTGTGTAACAGAATCTAACAGTTCTACTCTTAGATGTATATCCAAAAGAACTGTATAAATACATATACCAAAAGATTTCAAGAAAGATAATCACTGCCTTGCTCATAATAGCCCCAAACTGGAAACAATCCCAATGATGATCACTGTGATATTTAAACATGGGACTACTACACAGCAACAACATATTTCTTGGGCAAAAGAAGCCAGACACAAAGACTGTATACTGCATAGCTGAATTTATATAAAGTTCAAAACCAGGCAAAATTATTTCATTCTGTTTGAAGTCACAATAGTAGTGACTTTGGGGGCAAAGGAAAACAAGTGGTTTTCTGGGATCCTGCAAATGATGTTCCTTGATCTGGGTAGTAGTTAACACAAACAAGTTCATTTTGTGATAATCAAGCTTACACTTACAATTTGTGCACTATTCTATACTTGTTTCTTAATTTCTATTTCAGTTTAAAATGATTACTAAAAACAAACTCAATATACAGAGATCAACATCATTCCTGTACACCAGGAACAGCCAATCTGACACTGTATGGGGAAGAGGGGAGAGGTATATTTTACAAGAGAACCTAATAAGAATCACATAAAACTTTTTGGAAAACTTCTGTGAAGAGTATAAATAACACATGAACACGCAGAAAGACATATATCACCTTTATGGATGAGAAGATAATATTATAAAGACATCAATTCTCCCTGAAATTAATTTATAAATTCATTCAATTCCAATAAAAACTCCATCAGTGCCATTCAGGGAACTTTTAAAACTACTTCTAAAATTCACACTGGAAGAATAAATGCGCAAGAAGAACTAAGGCAATTTTTTAAAGAACTAAGAGAAAAGATTTTCCTTATTATTAAGACGTATTATAAAACTATAGAAATTCAGACTACAGAGACTAAAAAAGGACTGACACTTTTGTGCTCTTTTAGCCTATGATAAATGTGGCACCAAACAGCAGACACAAGGACAAGTGATTAAATTAGTGGAGTCAGCTGAATCAGCTCCATATATGAAAAAATATAAAAATAAATCCTGTCTTCATGATATTTATAAATAAATGTTTGAACCACAAAAGAGCCATACAGACATTAAAAGACAGATAAAAGATTATGCTTAAGTTCTCTGAGGTAGGCAACTCCATCCTAATTTTTTTTAAAAAGACATACAGGAAAGAAACTTTTAAATTTGACTACGTGAAAGCTCATTTTAAAACTTTTGTATAAGAAAAGATCTCCAAAACAAGAAACAGCAGGCAAAGAGAATATATTTGCAACAAGTGAAACAAAGTTTTCACATAAAGTTTATAAAAAAATTCCTACATCAATAAGAAAAAAAAAGTAAACCTAAAATAAGATCACTTAATTTTCAGAAGCAATACAAATGTTCAACAAACATATTGAAAGATAACCTGCCAAAAAAATCAAGGCTATAAAACAAGACACCATTAAATTGATGAAGTTGTTAAAGTTCAACAAAATCATGTGTAGCAGGGGTGTGTGGATATTCCTGAACACCACTGCCTAGTGCTTAAATTTGTACAATAACTTTCAGAGGAATTTGATGTTTATTAAAATTAAAATATGCATACCCTGTAATTCCACCTTTTCACTTCTAGGTTTTTACTAGAGAGAAGTATTGGCACATGTAGATATGCATTTACCCATACAATAAAAATTTTTTAAAAAAGGAAAATTTTTGTGATATTCTTCATGCATAGGTAGGTCAACTACAGTATAGCTATACAAACAGAATACTATGAAAACATGTCTATGTATACTAACAGCTAAATCTACAAGATTTAGGGGTTTTTTGCTTTTTTATAAGTTGAATGCAATTACGTAAGACATGTAAAAAAATTAAGATTTTTCCATGAGGACTTAAAAGATTCATATAAATGCACGGAAAAAGATTTAAAAAACACACACCAAATTACGTGTAGTCACCTCCTGCGGGGAAAAAATGGGCCCGTGTATTTATTCTCTGCATATTTTTTAAAGAACACCGACAATATGCTTATTTGTGAATTTAACATTTAAACGAGAAAAACAGAAGAGAGGGATGGGTGAGTTAATATGCTGATGTATTGTTGAGAACACCGTGTGGTTTTCAAGTGCAGATTTAGCCGTCATTAGCGCAGAGATAAAATTAGTTAAAACCTTGGAGCAGATGCGACTGCCTGCGGATGGAGGAAAGAGAAGCAGCAGAAAGAGGATGGCGAGAAAGGAGAAGGGCAAGAGGGGAGGAAGATTAAGAGGTCTTCAGTTCAGTTCAGTTGCTCAGTCGGGTCCGACTCTTTGCGACCCCACGGGCTGCAGCACGCCAGGCCTCCCTGTTCATCACCAACTCCCGGGGTTTACTCGAACTCATGTCCATTGAGTCGGTGATGCCATACAACCATCTCATCCTCTGTCGTCCCCTCCTCCCCTCGCCCTCAATCTTTCCCACCTTCTGTAAGGGGTCTTACAGAAGGCATATAGAGTATTTTCAAGTTTATAGCATCATAAGCAGCAGAACGGTTAGGTAAGGTGGAAGCCAAGCAATGCACAGCCCTAGGTCTGAAACGCACGGAGCGCAGACCACCTAGCACTGGGAATGTTCCCCAGAGGGGGATGGGGGGCACTGCCAGCGGCCAAGCCAGAGCAGCACTCTGAGCGGGAGGCGGCGTTTGAGGTCGCGCACACGCACGAGGTCACGCAAGCGCACGGCGCTTGCGCAAGCGCACAACCGCACGCCCGCGTAGCTCCGAGCTTGTGGAAAACGAACGACTTCTGGGGAGGTCGAGCTGCTTGCACTATGTCTGAAATGCACGAGCTGTCCGAGCTTTATGCGGAAAGCAACGATCTGCAGATGGATGTGATTCCTGGTGAGAGTGATCTTCCGCATATGGAGGTAGGCGGCGGGAGCCGGGAGCTATCCCCGAACCCCTCCCGCGCCGGGGCCCCGCCACAACTGGAGGAGGAAGGCCCAATGGAGGAGGAGGTTGCCCAGCCAATGGCGGAGCCACAGGGGCCCCGAGGCCTCGCTAGCCGGCCCAGCCCTGGGGAGCAGCCAGGCCAGATCGCGGGCCCTGATTTCGAGAGCGAGGACGAGGGCGAGGAATTCGATGACTGGGAGGACGACTATGACTATCCGGAAGAGGAGCCGCTCAGTGGTGCGGGCTACAGAGTATCAGCGGCCCTTGAAGAAGCCAACAAGATGTTTCTGAGAACCTCCAGAGCCAGAGAAGCAGCTCTGGATGGCGGGTTTCAGATGCATTATGAGAAGACCCCGTTTGATCAATTGGCTTTTATCGAAGAGCTTTTTTCACTTATGGTTGTCAATCGTCTGACCGAAGAACTCGGCTGTGATGAGATCATTGACAGAGAGTAGTTAAATGCTGTTAAGAGAGGAGGAAGCTGCTTGAGGAGAGACCCAGCATTCCACTGTCATCTGGGTTCATTCCAAATAGTTCTGTGCCAATGAAAATCTTCCCCCCCAAAACAAAAAAATTTTTTTTTCAGAGTAGAATAAGGTAGTGACTGCACAGTTATGAAAAAGGAAGAAAATCGTTAAAGAAAAGTATGTTAGTACTGTTGAAACCTGTTTTCAAGAATGTCCAGAGACACTTATGGCTTTGACTTTGTTGTTTATTCAGAGTAATTTCCTTGCATTGAGGAAGATAATCTTTCATGTTTCACTGTAAGGAATGGCTTTGCAAGAATAAGTTATGACCAAGACAGACTGCCAGTACAAGAGCCTACTGATGATAATTATATGAGAAAAAGTAACTGATTTATCCACCTTAGGACATAAGATGTCTTTGAGTTATTTGGACTGAAAGCATATTGAGAAAACTTTAAAGATTCAGCTTTGTGATCTATCTGAGCTGTGGTTATCAAAGGCTAAATTTTCAGTGTAAAATAAATCTTCTACCGAGTATTCTTCAGTATCTCAAAAGATAATCTAGCCCCAAAAGAAGTATGTGTCTTGTGTGCTATATCTTAAAACGTGTTTCCGAGAACAACTGAGATTTTGTTTGTACATGTATCTTGATCATTTTTAAAGCTACTGTAATCTTTAATTCAAGAAAATTCATTGCCCTGAACATTTTTAAAAGTCAAAACTTAAGACGTCCTTAATGAAGTTTCAAATTTAGACTGTAAAATGTACGTGAAGGTACAAAGAACACAAACTCTTTCAAACATCAGCATATACTAGAGAATTTTCTGTTTCACTTGCTCTCTTTTTTCATGTAACTTTACAGGCAAAAGACCCTGGTTGAACTTCATAATGTAAGAACTGTTAAGTGAATATTGTCCAGTAAAAGGAAACCCCTACATCTAAAAAAAGGCACTATGAAAAACCCTTAAAAGTTTTAAATCTGCCCAGAAATCCACCTCAGTATCTGAAGTTTCCCTCTGTCTCCTAATTAAGCTTGTTTTTGGTCATGCACCAGCATTCAAGATAATAAAGATTTCTTGTTCTCTGTATTTTATTTGTTTGGCTAATTGTATACATACTTTCTCTAATTTTTATTTGCTGTATTGTTTGATTGTATGATTGCAACCATTTTATGATTTAAATTTAATGACTTTATAAGGGAAAGTGCTCCAGCTTCAAATACTGGATTGCAAATTAATTGGTGTAAATTAAACTTAGTAAATTCCTATAAGAGAATTTGCCAAGCTGGGAAAACCTGCCAAATCAGTAAGCATTTCACAGGGGTTAGTGGTTAGTAAGATGCTAAAGTTCTATGTGAATAATAAGAAGGCTGTGCCCAGTGAAACAGAGTATACCAGCATGTCTTAAGATTAGTAAAAAGGTACCAGATGTTTTTGCTGCATTATGGCAGTAAAGGATACATCCAATATAACAGGACAACTCAGAGCCTTACTTATGTTGCAGTCATCCTCTCTTTTAGGGAGGAGGGTTCTTTTCTGTATAATACAGGGTTGACAAGGATGGTCATAAATCAGACACCAGCTTGGCAGGGAGAGGAGCGATAGATGGGGGAAGACTAAAAAGGAGGTTAAACACTGGCACTTGCATCTTAATCCTACTGGTCTCCCATTGCTCACTTCTTTGCATTTTCAAACAGCTTATAGATGCAGTACAAGTCTGTGGATAGATAACTGCTTGTATGATGTGAATTAATAGGACTCTGGACAAAGAAAAGTACCAATATATATGAATTGACTAGTTCCATTTATCTCCAGATAAGATGCCAGGAAATAGATTCAGAAAAAAACATAGCTACAAACTACAAGTGTTACTCTTATTTTTCTTAGAAATTGAGTAGGGAGCAAGAGCAAGAGGAAAGAAAACTACTCCCTGTTAGGTTTGAAGGCCCATTTAGAGAAAGACCAAGACTCGAACTCACTCTTGATGGTTTGTTAATCTTAAAAATAGGCAGTAACTTAAGAGACCACTGACATTAATACTTGTTAATATTTACTGAAAGTAGAGAAGGGTAACATTTTAAACATAGTTACCACAGACTGAAACCAAGCCTACCTAATTTGAACCTAGGCTCCAGTGCTTACTAGCTCTGTAACAAGAGATTAATCTCTGCCTCAGGGTCCTGAATTGAAAATAAGAATACTTGAAAGAACCTTATAAATTGTGAGAATTTAATGAAGATATATGCTGCTGCTAAGTCGCTTCAGTGTCCAAGTCTGTGTGACCCCATAAGTCACAGCCCACCAGGCCCCTCTGTCCCTGGGATTCTCCAGGCAAGAATACTGGAGTGGGCTGCCATTTCCTTCTTCAAATGAAGATATATACATCTATATAAATAAGTAAACTAAAGAAAGGAGCTCTGGGGAAATTCTAAGCCTGTCTGATGTAGGGAGAGGTGGAGATAAGGAATAGGGAAGAGAGAAGTTAAACTTCTGAGTGTAGTGTCATTTGTGGAGCGCTTTCTAGGTCTATCCATACTTACGTAAATGTTTGCTTCTATCAGATGTCCCACATTGGCTCCCTTTGAGGACACAGATCTATTTTGTTTGGTTCATGCTTATAATTTTAATTTCTTAAAGACCAACATCTCATAATTCATAGAAATCAGTAAAACTCCCAGATTTCCATCTTTTTTTCCCCCCAAAAGTAGAGGAAGATCTGGCAGCCCTTGATCTATAGTCATATGGGATTGGCCTTTACGCAGGGGAAGTATTCTGTTTGCAATGTTCCCCAGCTTTTCTCCCCACTTGTGGAGGACAAGTGGCACTCATCATCTATCACCGTTTGCACCATTGTGTTTTCATGAACCCAGACAGTTTGCATTACCTACCTGGCCTCTAGTATTTGAATTGCCTCTCCTGGAGATAAAAGATTTCTCCATTTTCTGCCTGTTTTACCTTGTTATCTATTACTCTTCTCAGTTTCAATAGCTGTTAAGGAGTCAGTGATAGGAGTATAGAAATGAGTGAAGAAATAGAATGGGAGCTACTGAGACTGACATTTCTTCTTAAAACTTTATTAAAGTATGTCAAGGACGTCCATTGCTTGAATTTTTAAAACAAGGACTTTAAAAAAACACCTGTAACTTGCTTTTCCAAAATGTTTTTTCCTATTTCAAAATATGTAAGTTTTAAAAATTGTAAGCATTGCGTGTTTCTGTGTTTAATCTTATTTTCTGCCTCTGAGATTCTGTGAGACATTTTCTGGGAGCAAATGGTTACATTCTTGATGTTCTCAGTGACAGAAGATAAACGTGAACCATCTGACCCATAAGTGTTCTGTCATGTATGAATGTATCTATAAATGTGAAGCTGTTTTTGATTTCAGTCCAAAGTATATCTTAGAATTTGGGGGGGGGGGGGCGGTATTTGTATTTATCTCAGAACTTCAAAGGATATTTTTCTTTAAGGAAAATTTAATAAATCATTTTCTCTTGCTACATCCAGATGGTCACTTTTCTGCTGCCTTTATCCCTGGGACATTTTAGCTGCCCTTTTAATGGGATCTATAAAGCTTCTTGAGTTTAAGCATCCAGAGTGGCACATCTTTTTTTACATACTCCCAACTCCACCCACCCCCCACCCCCGTAGCTATTCTCCCCAGGTCTTCAAAATTGTTCAAAACTATTTTTAAAAATCAGCCCCTGGGCCTGGTATCAGTGAGATCCCAACTTTGGTCCCCACTCTAGCAGTGGGCTGAACACAGCTCATTCCACACCAGCATTGTAGAAAGGATGGGAGCCACTCCCCAAAACACCTCTGCTGTAACCACTGGTGGTGGAAGCCACCTATGCCCAGTGTCCCTCCTTCTATTTGCCTAAAAGATTATGGGTATATTGTACCGGCTCTAATTGCAGTGGCCTGGAAAAGAGTAGTGGAGGGAAAAGAGATTTTGAGAATAACTTATGCCCCCACCATACACAACACAACCCTATATTCAATGAAATCATATACACGAAAAGCAAGGGTACCAGAGCTGGTACCATTCACATGAGTGAAAACTAAAACAAATTTTACATCCACAAATGTCCTGAGGATAAAGCATCTGAAAGACTGAATGTTTTGCCTTCCACCCAGATAGGCCGCATCTTCCAAGGACAGCCCCAAATGTCCTGTTGTCAGGTACCAATGGTATGCCCCTCTTAGATAACCAAGTATGACCCAATTAATCCATTTTAAACTATTTCATATTAAACATTTTCTTCTGTGGTGTTTTATACTACAGGGTAAGCAATGTTATTTTATTCTGCTTTTGAATTTAAAAAATAAAGCAAACCTCAAAACCACAAGTGAATTTTTTGACCAGAAAATAGAAATACAAATGTTTACAACTGTACTTATATGTTAGTACTATTTTATAATTTTACATATTACAATATGCTTTCCCTGCTAAGTACTGAGTATATGAAAAGGCCTCAAGGAAGAATGTTTGAGTAAAAATAATAATAGGTACCATGTAAGGGCACTGTGCTGTGTGATTTATAGCCATGATCTTACTTAATCCTCTAAGTAACCCCACAGACACATTCTGTTGCTAAATAGATCTTCTTAGAAGCTCTATGAATAAGAACTCATTTCACTGATGATAAGAATTGAGTGGGAAGATAACTTGCTTGTTAGTGACGAATCAGGCTTTCTACCTGTATGTGACATCAAAGCCTCTTAGTGTTTTTTCAGTGCCAAGTACACATTGAACCTTCTATGAGTCCCTGAACAACAGCACTCCATACAGTAAAACCTTAAATACTAAGAAATTCAAATCATTACATATTAGACAAGGAAAAATTAGAGTGTAGCATACATAAAGGAATTTAATTTAAAAAATAAAAAGTCAAAGGATGTCCTAGTTTAAAGTATACATTTAGCCCAGTGACTGTGTATCTTTTATATCCGCTTCAGCAATGCTGTTTTTTAAGAAATAACATTTACAATGAGAACTCGGCCACACCATAGCATCATAAATCATCAAAGATGAAAAAGTTGTTTATATAATAACATTCAAGAAGGCTTTTCAATCTCAAGGGTTGAAAGAAAATGTTTCCTGCTTAAATTTTGGTTAGCTAGAACACTGGCCCTAACATTACCCTTCTGTCCTTCATCTGCACCCCCAGTCCAATACACAGTCTGTGAGGTCTGATGAAGGAACTGCTTTCTCTTTGGGGCAGAGTGGTGAAGAATAATAAATGACTGGTTTGAGTATATTCCAAATGGTATTTACTATGTTCTTTGTGCCTTACTGACAAAGCCAGTTAAGTAGGGGCAAGTATTAGGCAGTTAAATATCCCAGTGATGGCTTAATAATACTGTTGTTCTAATTACTGGTATACATAAATCCTTGGCAGATATTTTCCCCCATGTCTTATTAAGTTTTAGGCACACTGTCTGAAACTGTATTCTTTTTATTATGCCCAGTCTGTTCTAGAAAAACAGAAGATATGCTAAATTATAAATGACACTCATAATCTTACCTGTTGGTTGTCAAGATTCATCAGTGTGAGACTGCATGTTGAAATGGTCAGTTTTATATTCATTCCCGAAAACTGAAGATTACTTTTGCCAAGAACTGTTGATAGGAACTTAGCTGGAGGCTTTAAAAATAACAAAACAACATTCTAAGTTACAGATTTTGTTACAGAAGGAATATTTTTTTTTAAATGTTAAAAATGGGACAAAGCCCACACGCTTCCTTTCTATTTTACTTTAAATAAATCAAGTGAGATGGAATGCTTTTTTAATATAAACTTTTTTTTAATTGAAATGCAGCAAAATTCTTGAGTAAGTAGTGAATTCTGTGCCCTCAGACCTTTTCTCATACATTCCCTTCTCCCCAAGTGCTGGGAGTAAGGACATGCTTTATATAAAAGGAACTCCCGTGAGAGTTTAGATTAACTGAGTTCACAAGTCATTTTGGACACCACAAATCTAAAAAAAAGATAAAAAGTTGCTGCTTAGGTTTTTTGTGGTGATTTAAAGAGTACAAAAAACACAACATGCCAAAACTTATGAAACACAGGGAAAGCGGTGCTTTTATAACTATAATATAACATTATAAGTTAGAGTTTATAGGTATGAACATACACTAAAAAAGAAAGATCTCAAATCAACAACCTAACTTAGGGAGTGGGAGGAGGGACAAATTAGGAGATTTGGAGTAACATATATACTACTATCTATAAAATAGATAACCAACAAGGACCTACTGTTTAAAGCACAGGAAACTATACTCAATATCTTGCAATAATCTATAAGGGAAGAGAATCTGAAGGAGAAATATAAATATACACACACATGTATAACTGAATTACTGTGCCGTACATCGGAAGCAAACACAATGTTGTATTTCAGTTACACTTCAACAAAAAATTTTAAACCAACCTAAATTTACAATTTAAAGAAATCAAAAAAGTTTATAGATTAAACCCAAAGTTGGCAGAAGGCAAGAAATAATAAAGATTAGAGCAGAGATAAACGATATAGAGACTAGAAAATCAATACGGAAAAGCAAAGAAACCAAAAGTTGGTTCTTCAAAAAGATCAACCAAACTGACAAACCTTTAGCTAAATAAGTTAAGAAAAAAGAGAAGACAAATTAGAAAGATCAGAAGTGAAAGAGAGGACTATCCTGCCAATTCTATGGAAGTAAAAGGACTGTAAGAGAATACTATGAAGAACTGTATGTCAACACATCGGATTACTTAGATGAAATGAACAAATTTCTAAAACCTACAAAGACTAAATCACAAAGAAATAGAAAATCTGGGTAGACCTATAACTAGTCGGAAGGAAGGAAGACAAGAAAGCAAGCAAGAAAAAAGGGGGAGGGAGGGAGGGATAGATGACAGGAGGGAGGGACGGAGAAGGAAGGGAAAGAAGGAAGGATGTAAGGAATACAAGAAAGCAAGCAAGAAAGAAAGGGGAGGGAGCAATAGAGGAGAGGAAGGAGGGAGGGAGAAGGAAGGGAAAGAAGGAAGGAAGGGAGGGAAGGAAGGAAGAGAAAATAACAAGTGCTGGCAAGGATGTGAAGAAATTGAAACCCTTGTGCACTATTAGTAGAAATGTACAATGGTACAACAGCTTATTGAGGGTAGCAGCTCCTCAAAAAACTAAAACTAGAGTTACCATATGATCTAGCAATTCTCTCCAGTACTCTTGCCTGGAAAATCCCATGGACTGAGGAGCCTGGTAGGCTTCGCGGTCCATGGGGTCGTGAAGAATTGGACACTACTGAGCGACTTCACTTTCGCTTGTCACTTTCATGCATTGGAGAAGGAAATGGCAACCCACTCCAGTGTTCTTGCCTGGAGAATCCCAGGGACGGGGGAGCCTGGTGGGCTGCAGTCTATGGGGTCGCACAGAGTTGGACACGACCGAAGCCACTTAGCAGCAGCAGCAGCAGCTAGCAATTCTGCTTCTTATTATATATCCAAAAGAGCTGAAAGCAAGGACTTAAAGAGATATTTGTGCATCCATGTTCACAGCAGCATTATTCACAATCGTTAAAACATGGAAGTAACCCAAGTGTCCATCAACAGATAAATGGATAAACAAAATGTGATATATACATACAATGAAGTATTATTCAGTCTTAATTAGGAGGGAAATTTTGACATATGCTACAGCATGGATGTACCATGAGGACATTATGTGAGGTAATGTGAAATAAGCCTATCACAATATGACACTGCATGATTCCACTTATATGAGATAATTAGAGCAGTCATAATCATAGAGACAGAAAGTAGAATGGTGGTTGCCAGGGGCTGGAGAGGGGGAGGGATGGAAATTCACTGTTTAATGGGTATAGACTTTCTGTTTTACAAGATAAAAAAAGAGTTATGGGCTTATTCCCATTAAATTGTTTAACTAGATTGTGTAAAATAACTTCATTGCTGAATATGAAATTACAAAGTGAAGGCTTGGGGAAAATGGGCTTTTTTAGAAGCAAACAATTCTAAATATATTCAGTTATTCAAATAAATGATTTTCTTTCTTAAAAAACAAAAAGTAATGCAGATAGACCGGGGTGATGATTGAGCAACAATATAAATGTATTCATTGAACTATACACTTAGAAATGGTTACAATGGTAAATGTTATGTGTACTCTAACACAATTTTTCAAATTGTGAAGAAAAAGAATATTAAAAATGTAAAGTGCATAGAAGAACACCTGGCATGTATTAAGTACTCAATAAATCCTCAGGAGTAGGAAATGGCAACGCACTCCAGTCTTCTTGCCTGGGAAATCCCATGGACAGAGGAGCCTGGCGGGCTACAGTCCACAGGATTGCAAAAAGTTGGCCACAACTGAGTGCACATGTACATAATGTACAAATCTAGCTATCGAGGAATTAACTCAATAATTTCTCTTTTTTCTTTACATGTTTACTTTCTGGAAAGATGATAGCCTGATTTGCTTTATTTTGTTTTCCAGTGTGGACTCCCACTAATCCTGAAATGAGAAAGTCTTAAGTGAATAAGTTTGTTGGGATCATCCAGTCACAACCTCCTATTTGAGGAGGTTATGAGAGGCAGGAGGAGGTTAGAGGCTATACACAGATCATGGGTTCTGTCAAAGAAACTACTAATGGTAGTTCTAATAGACCTCAAGGGCCGTTCATCAAAGCTTCCTGTACTATGATGGCTCACTTGAGTCACTCTGGGTGACAATGGATTCAGCCTTAAGAAATAATGAGCGATGATAAAAATACGAGGCGTGGATTTCCCTGATGATCCAGTGGATAAGAATCCATGCTTCCAAGGCAAGGGGCATGTGATTGATCCCTGGTCTGGGAACTATGACCCCAAATGCCTTGTGGGGTGGCCAAAAAAAAAAGAGAGAGAGACAGGGTGGTATGGTAATAGAGCACTAAGCTGAGACTGAAAACCTGGCTTTGACAGTTGGATCATTCTAGTAACTCAAGGCAAGTCTCTTTGAGCTATAGTTTAGAAGCTAGCAAAGTGAGAGGGTTTTTCTTGGGAGATCTCTAAAAATCCTTCCCCTCTTAAACAATCTACAGTTCTATAACTAATATAGCTATCTTAAGAGACTTTGAATCTCTCCTTTGCACTTCGAAGCAACTATTCTAGGTTTAATAACTTAATACATAATTGGCAGAGATGTATTAATACATCTTTTGTTACCCAAACATGATTGACCAGAGTGTTTCATTATTCAGTCACATAACAAATCACTGGCCGCAGGCATTCGTTTCTGCAAAAATTCCTGGTCGGTAATGTGCTAATACAATAATACTACCTGCCATTATCATTGAAAGCTTAATGTAACCCAGACACCATGTGAGGCACTGTGATATACACATCACTTCATTTAATTCTTACCTAACTCTATAAAGTGTGTGCTATTTTCTCCCATTTTATAGATGAGGAAGCCAAGGATCCAAAAGGTGAAATGACTTGTTCAAGGTCACACAGTTACTAGGGGCAGAGACAGGGTTTAAATCCAAGTCTAATATCGAGTCTTGTGCTTTCTTTCAGCATAAAAAGCTCCTTCTACCCATTTACTATCTTACTGCTATCAGCACCCATGTTTCCATTTGAAAATAGGCCATGGAGTCTTAAAAGCCTAAATTGTTAAAATGCAGAATACATACATTATAACATATTGAAATTGGAAGGTACCCAAACTGGTCATTTTGTCAACAAATTAACTTTACAGAAACAAAAATGAAGTTTCTTTCAGAGATGAGATGCCATGCTCAAAGGTAAATAAAGACCCAGCCCTGCAACCAGATTTTTTCTAACTTGGAAAGACTGAAGTGCTTTCTCCTCTCTGTCCCTCCAGGCATCACCATTTCAGACAATATCTGGCAAGTCAGAAAATTTGAAGGAGAAGAGCAACTTTGAGTGCATCTCAGATAGCATGCCAGCTAATCAAGCCTATTCTGGACCTTGGGTCATGTGGTGGAATGAACAAACAACTATTTCAATATTATCTTTCTTTCCCATAGTTAGGGAAATATAAAACAAAAAACCCACACCATTATTTATTTACCTTTCGCTTTTTAATGGCTCCATTTGCCCCAGGGACAGCTTCACACAGGCGACTTATTGCTTCCCTACAGAACAGAAACCATATAAAGACTCAGCAAACTATCAAGTACATAGTAAATGTTCAATAAACGTTAGCAAGTTGTTATGACCAAAATGTACACTCAGATAATGGTGAGTCTGACATAAAGGGCCGCCTCCACTCCACAGGAGAACACTGAGCTTATTCTCACCACAGCTCAAATCCAAGAAGATCCAGCAACTCTCTAATACTGAAAAACTGCTTTATGTCCTATATTCACCTTCATTGTCTATTTCCCTTGGGTTTTCCAGGTTGGTTTTCAGCACTGTTGATTTCTAACCAAAAAGGATAAATGGGACTTTACCGTCTAGGAATATTTCACAGTTTTATCTTTAGCAAAATCCCCTGTGGTGGTGTGAATAAAAAGCTTCATAGCATCTCATCACTAAAAACAATTAAATACAAAAGAATCCAACACTAGAGGAAGTTTAAAAGGATTGGGAGAGAATTAAACTTCAAGGTGGTCTCAAATGGAACCTTATTGACTAAGTTACTGCTACAAGCCATTGAGCTTTCATGTAATTTCACAGAAGAAAAGAAAATCAATAGCAAATTTCCTCCTTTGCTTATTTTTCTGCCCTTACTATATATTGCACTTCCTGAGAGAAAAGCACCACTAAAAGAGGTAGTTGGTCCTTAATGGAAGTGGTGAATGCACTGGCGCCCTCCTCTCCAGAAATGCAGTTATAACTAAGAGCTTTTGTCTATGGGACTCAGCATTCAGAACCACCCGAGCTTTCACTTGGCGTAATCTGAACCTCCGCCTGTGGCTTTCAACACACATATTAAACTTTTCACAAAGCAAATGGAAATCTCTAAGCTCCTTCCGGATCCACTGGACATCATCATTAAATTAGTACACACACACACATGATTACAGTTTTTATATATATTAGATTTCATTAAAATATTTTCTATGAGGTGTTTTGATTTTCAAAGGAAGGGAGATGCAGAAAAAGGAAAGAAGATCCATTAAATTAGTACACACACACACATGATTACAGTTTTTATATATATTAGATCTCATGAAAATATTTTCTATGAGATGTTTTGATTCTCAAAGGAAGGGAGATGCAGAAAGAGGAAAGAAGATCCGTTAAAAATAAATATTCATTAGATAGACAAAAAACAGAGATCTATATATAGCTCTATACATGTAGTAGTGCAGAGCTATGTACTCAACATAATTATCTGCAACAAATGGATAAAGCAGCTCTTTGATTTAGCATATTTATTGTTTCTCCAGGATTCCAACCTTGTTCTCTGGAGTCAAGCAAGACAACTCTGAGAGTTGGGCTCTTTTGTTTGGTTGGCGGGCTGATGGTTTGAGTTATCTTAATGTTAGTCAGTAATTGATGAGACACATTTAATTGATCTGAATCAGCCTACAGCATTGCCTAAATAACTAGACCTGGCACCCTTGTTGTTGGTATTTAACAAAGAAGGATTATGGGAAAGGTGTTCTTATCTTAGATCCTGTACTCCGTGAGATCCAGTTGGGGTACTTTGGTCTAAAAAGCTCCCTATAAATGGGTTGAAATAAAAGTATAAACAAAAGTGGACACTGATGTTGCCAAGTATAATAACAGTTATTATCAGAAGTAGTAACTTTTCTAAGTTTTATGAAGTGCTTTCCCAGGCACTGTTTTCTTGATTCTCATTTCAACTGTCAATAACATCTAACAAAAAGTAAAGCTGTGATTTTAGATAAAGGGAATACTTTATAGGATGAGCACCTTCAAGAAGAGTTTGGAAGGGTGAGCCTTCCTGGCAGGGTGGAATTGGGAAAATTCAGACAGAGGGAAGAGCATGTGTAAAGATACTCAAACATAAAGAATTACAACATGTGGGGAACTACAGTACTTTGATATTGCAGGAGCACAAAGTGTGGTAGAAACAAGAACAAGTAAGAGCTAAGAGATGGGATTAGAGCCTGAAAATGTTTTCTGAATAAAACCAGATAGTAAATATTTTAGACTTTGTTCTATTGCAACTACTGAACTCAGCCATTAACAGCAGCAACAGACAACATGCAAACAGATGACACAACTGTTCCAATAACTTTATTTCTAAAAACAGGTAGCTGGCCATATTCAACCAAGGACCATAATTTGCCAACTTCCTGATTAGGTAATTTACATGAAAGGGATTAGAAATAATTCGGTCTTAAAAACAGGAAAATGTTAACATTCAGTATAATTTTAAAACTAAAAACTGAAACAACTGTAAGATACTTGCTCCCCTCTCATTAATTTCACACACGGAAAGAAAACTACAAAGCCAGTATCAACAGAAAAAAGGGAATAATCCCACTTCAGGTATATTTATCCACTGCTGGTTGCCTTACTTAGTATTAATATAAAAGATGACAAATGTCATAATATTTATCAGAGTTTTTGACAAGGAAAGAGGAATTTTTATTCAAACAGCATTGAGTGGTTATGTAAAAGAAACATTCATTTTAGATTTAAAAAAACAACCCCAACATAAAACAAATCAACATAAATATTGCCACTTGCAATGTTAAATATGAGGACTATAGAAATATGGAGGGAATATATATAAATTAGTGGGAAAAAAGAACTTGGAATAGCATATGCACATTGGTAGCAGCTATGTAAAATTAATACTGAAAAAAAAATAATAAAAAAAATTAAAAAAAATTAATACTGTATAAACAGTGACATAGAAAAAGCATTAAATAGTAACTTGGTTTAGAGGTTGTTTTTTTTATGTGTGTGATTTGCTGTTTCCTGTTTTATATTCTATTGACGTTTAGATGTAAACAGTGTTTTGTTTTACTTCATTGTTCAGTTGATTATAATCTTTTAAAATATTCAAAAGAATGCCAGTTAGTTCCTCAGCAGGAGTTTCGCTCCTGTATTGTGGCGATGTGAGGGCATGTCAACAATGTCCCTATGGAGTGACAGAGCCTGTCTCTCTTTTGCCAACAACTGCAGAGGTCAGAGAGTGTTCATGTTACAGATAATAACAGACTTTTATTTCTCATCATTCCCCTCCCAGCTTACCCTTTAATGCCTCCATCTTTATAGTCACTAAGACCAGATTTTTCTTTTCAGTTTATTTGGTAGACTTGCTGATTTTCACTCTCCAAAGTTTCACAAAGAAAAAACTCTTGCCAAGATTTAGCAATGTTTTCACATTAGAAATCTCTATCTTTAGATTTCTAGCAGGGAGTTCAAGCTTCAATGAAGAGGCATCCTATTTATATGTCAGGTTCAGCTCTAAGCACCTTATGGACATCATCTCATTTAGTCTTAATAATATTATTTCAAGGTAAGTATTTATCCCCATTTTACAAATGAGGAAATTAAAGTTCAAAGAATGTTAATAGAGAACAGCATCGAAACATGTATATTATCTAGGGTGAAACAGATCACCAGCCCAGGTTGGATGCATGAGACAAGTGCTCGGGTCTGGTGCACTGGGAAGACCCAGAGGGATCGGGTGGAGAGGGAGGTGGGAGGGGGGACTGGGATGGGGAATACATGTAAACCCATGGCTAATTCATTTCAATGTATGACAAAAACCACTGCAATGTTGTAAAGTAATTAGCCTCCAACTAATAAAAATAAATGGAAAAAAAAAAAGAATGTTAATAACTGCCTCTAAATAATTCAGCAGATAGTGGGAGAGACAGAATTCAAATCCAAGTCTGACTTAGAAATGCAGACTCACCATTGGAGGCACCATATTGCCAGGTTCATGAAAAGGGGGGAGTTCTAGGCTTTGGGGACTGGGAGGAGAAATATACTGGCCCTTCCTCTGCTCGCTCCCCAACATAGAAAGGGGTTCCTTTATGCAGTATGGCTGTGGTAACCCGCCAAGGGAACGAGGCAAAGTGATGGCAGTCGGCTCTGGAGAAGGCTCATGAGGATGTCCCGGTCCCTTGCTGTCCCAGCCCTTTGTTTTCTATACACTGGCTTATTATCTCCTTAGGGATAATAACAGCATCCAGAGCCTGGCCCTCGGGGGAGAACACACGTGTGTGCAAAGCACACTCACCCAGAACTTTAAAGTCAGCTGAGACACCAGACACTTCACAGATTCTGAAAATCTCTTAATATACAACTCAAAAGAAAAAAGGGGAACCTTGTGCTTATGAACTTGCTTTTAAAAAAATAGTTATACTGGTCACCCACATTCATAGCATTATTCACAACAGCTAAACTATGGAAACAATCCAAGTATCCATCGACAGATGAATGGATAAGCAAAATGTGGTACATACATACAATGGAATATTATTCAGGCTTACAAAGAAAGGAAATTCTGACACATGCTACAACATGATGAATGTTGGTATTATGAGAAGTTAAATAAGATAGTCACAAATAGGCAGATACTGCATGATTCCACTTATTTGCAGTAGTCAAAATTATGGAAAGGAGAATGGTGATTGCCAGAGGCTGGGGGAGAATGGGGAGTTATTGTTTAATAGAGACAGAGCTTTAGATTTACAAGATGAAAAGAATTAGGGGAATGGATGGTGATGATGGCTGTACATCAGTGTGAATGTACTTAATACCACTGAACGATGCACTTTAAAATGGTAATCACGATGGTAAGTTTTATGTTATGTGATTTTATCATAATAGAAAAAAAGAACTGCCAAAAATAATTAATTTTTTTTTTTACTTTAGACTAAAGAAGATCAGTAGATCTCTCTCCAACAAAGGCCTATTTGTGCAAATATTTCTATTCAATTTTAGAGGGTCCAACTCCCCAGCTCTAGCCCCTCAGTATCAACCCTGGAAAACCATCTGTGGGCCTCTTGGGAACCCACAGAACACAGGTTAAAAACCACTGCTTTAAACCACTCAAACTGTTTTCTTTGCTTACATCAGTATTAACAAATCTGAAACCCCAGTCAGAGAAGGCACATATGTGCTTGCTTTTTGTTGCCTTTCTTCTCAAAGATCTTTTCTTCCCCTTAGACTGGGACCAAGAGATTAACTGTAACAT